CAGGGAGTGCTGTGGCAGTTCCACCGGCTGCCGGTGGCGGTGCATTTGGCATGACGAGTGCATTTGGGCAACCAGGGAGTGCTGTGGCAGTTCCACCGGCAGCAGGTGGCGGTGCATTCGGCAAGGCGAGTGCATTTGGGCAAACAGTGAGCGCTGTGGCAGTTCCACCGGCAACAGGTGGCGGTGCATTCGGCATGACGAGTGCATTTGGGCAACCAGGGAGTGCTGTGGCAGCTCCACCTGCAGCAAGTGGCGGTGCATTTGGCATGACGAGTGCATTTGGGCAACCAGGGAGTGCTGTGGCAGCTCCACTGGCAGCAGGTGGCGGTGCATTCGGCAAGGCGAGTGCATTTGGGCAAACAGGGAGTGCTGTGGCAGCTCCACTGGCAGCAGGTGGCGGTGCATTCGGCAAGGCGAGTGCATTTGGGCAAACAGGGAGTGCTGTGGCAGTTCCACCGGCAGCAGGTGGCGGTGCATTCGGCATGACGAGTGCATTTGGGCAAACAGGGAGTGCTGTGGCAGCTCCACCGGCAGTAGGTGGCGGTGCATTCGGCATGACGAGTGCATTTGGGCAACCAGGGAGTGCCTTTGCAGGCCCACCGGCGGCGGGTGGAAGTTCTGTAGCAGGTGGTTTTGGTGCTGCCACTTCCCCTTTTCAATCCTCGTCTTTTTCCAATATTGCTGGAAACTATAAATTTACCCCCCAGTTTAAGAGCGTATTCGGGGGAAACTGATGTTGCTGTGAGTAGGTTTTTACACGTTATGCTTGGGTGGTGAAACAGTGAGTCTGTACGTAGAGACGGTAACTGTATTCCTTCAGTTTTTTTTTTCTTTTTTTCCTGCACAGGTGCTAGAACGATATGATGGAGGATGAAAGTAACTTGGAGCTGAGGGATGTCAGCAATAATGATTTGCTCAGCCTTCTAAATTTGCTAAAACACCTCACCGATACGACAGAAATGAGTTTATCTGCCCTGCAGAGCGTTGCCGAAGCACGTTGTCGCGCCGGGATAATAACGAGGGTGTTTGTTCACAAGCCAAGTGGGCAGGTTGTCGGAACTGCGTCGCTCTTAGTTGAGCAAAAGTTCACGCGAGGTGGGAAGTACGTTGGCCACGTTGAAGACGTCGTTGTTGATCCTGCATACCGGGGAAAGAAGTTAGGCCAAGCACTTATTAAGGACATCTGTGCAGTTGCTCGCTCACGGGGTTGCTACAAGGTCATTCTTGATAGCGCAGAGAAAGCTATTGACTTTTACCAAAAATTGGGCTTTCGAGTTTGTGAGCGCCAAATGAGGCTTGATTTGTGAACGTTTAAAATAAGCACCTATCCGCTCTGACTGGTGGCATTGGTTTCTGGAAGTATTGGTTAAAAGAAAGCATAGGTGAGTATATTTATTCCTCCTTTTCTTCGTTCCTTTCAGGACTAACAGATATGCAGCAAGCAGGAAGATATGTTGACGGTCAGTTCCGTGTTGTTAGGCATTTGGGAAGCGGTTCATTCGGTGACGCTTTCCTTGTTGAGCACCACGAGGATCAACTTCAGTACGTCCTTAAGTGTTCGAAGACACTAATGGGCAACGACCTTGTTCTTGTGGAGTCCAAAAACATGATGCAAACTACGAGCGATCACGTAGTACGATGCTATCGTACATGGATAGAGCCAAGAGACAAGAGATGCTATATGTTGCTAGAGTACTGCGACGGTGGCGATTTAGAAGATTACCTCAGTCACGCCTTTCCTTTGTCAGAGTCTCAGCTTATTTCCATGTTCGCACAGCTTCTTCTGGGACTAGACCATGTTCACTTGAAGCATCTTATACACCGCGACATCAAGTTGCAGAATCTGTTGCTTCAGAGCGCCACAGGTATGGTAAAGATTGGGGACTTTGGTCTCAGCAAAGCTCTTCGGTTTACGGATGAGGTATCAGTCACTCGCTTGGGAACACCGCAATATGTTTCACCTGAGGTGTTAAATGGCCTGGAGTATACCAGGAAGACGGATGTCTGGAGCATGGGGGTTGCTTTTTATTGTCTTATGACAAATGAGCTACCATTTCCAGCGACAAGCGTGGAGGAGGCCTACCAGAAACTCTCCAAGCAACAGCCGGTGCACCCATGTCGTCTGAGAGAAGGTTACTCCGAAGATCTTGGCGATGTGGTGATCAGGATGCTAACTAAAAGTCGCACAAAACGCCCCACCGCAAGAGAGCTACTTGCAATGCCCGTTTTTTCATCAGTACTGTGTGCGTGGCCGTGGCGATCCCCACATCTCAAGGGTACAGTGTGTCTTTTTGTCTGCCGACCACAGTCTTGTGTTAACGTTCGGTCTCAGCCGTCGTTGAAGGCCGAGCGACTCGGGGAGTTTTCGTATGGTGACCAGGTTTTTGTTAGCGACGATCGTTTTAACGGGGATGGACTGACCTGGTACCGCGTTTTGTACCCGCTGGAAGGCTATTGCATCGCGGCTACTGCTCACGGCCGACACCTTTTCCAGAGAGTTGATGACCCTGCGCGGTGCTCTCCCATAATGTCACCGAAATAAACCTTCCTTCCTTTTCGCTGCTCGGTGACACCTTTTCTGTGCCCTTGTGTTGTCGGTGAGTTTCGGTCAGGGCCGCATTTTTTTTTGTTCATTGTTTTCTTCACAGCGTTTGAGAGGAATACGTATGAGTTGTTCCGTTATCACATCTGAGTAGGGTTCGCACGTTCTGCTTTGTTTGTCCTGGGAAAGAAGGGAAAATGTGTTACGCTTTGTTGTAATTTCCCGGTGTACTAGGGATGGATTTGAGGGTGGTTTTGCCTTTCTGTGCTTCTCCCTGTGTGTGTCTGTGTGTACGCCGTGCCTATTCTTGCTTCTTCTCATTTTCGTGTTTTTCTACACTCTCATTGCCAGCAGCCCACTTTTTCCATTTTTCTTTTTTGGCCCCATTTTTTTTTTGCCAGTTACTGTTACAGTGCACAGACGTCGAGGAGAATGTACCGTAGACTTTCCATTGGTGCACCATTGAAGAGGATAGGTCGGGGCCTTGCTGGGTGTGATAGTGTACTGGGGACGGCGATACTGCCCCAGGGGCTCGTGAGCACTCTCCAGGAGGAGCTGAGAGAAGAGGAGCATCGGAGGCAATGTGGCATTGGTGAAATGCTGCGAAACTGCATTGGGCAAGGTGAATTAGACCATGTGGAGAGCCCGGAGGCTGACGCCGCACACCTTCAGAAAGTGGATTTCATGATAGAGAACCTCTTCAGCAAGATTCCATTGCCCAATGATCCAATGAAGGCGGCGTTGGCTCCCACAGAAGAAGAATTGAAGGCAAAGGAGGTGAACGAGGTTCTGAAGGAGGCTGTGCGTGAGCATTATCTTCGTCAGAAGGCGTTAAAGGCAGAAGAAGAAGCTAGAATAGCGGTGGCAATGAGACACTACGAAAAAGATGGGGGAAAAGAGAGCACTGGCATTCTGGAGGAAGTGGATGCTGCTGGTGACTCGGCGGAGATACGCCGACAGATTGAAGGTATGAAACGCCAAGTGGAGAGACTTGAAAAACTCTTGGAGTCCAAGTCTCAGAGTCGATGTCCGTAGTTTTTTTTCCTGTATGATTCTGTGTGCATGATTCTGGTGGACGTTTCCTTTTATGTGTTTTCTTATTATTAATATGTGGCAATCTCATTCCCCTCTCTTGCGCTTAAGCCAGATGCTACACAGACTATTTGTGAGTGGGGCAGATCTAAGAGGCTGTCGCAGCGTACTCTCTAGTACCCTCATTCAGCGGAGGTATTGGGCAAAACCGAAGAAGCGCCCAAAGGTTGGTCAAGGGTTTCATGAAAAGGCTCAAAAATGGCGTGAGGAATACCTTCTTGACCGACACCGCGTCCTTGCCGATAGTCTCCGCGCCTACGTGGAGTTTAGTGCCTCAAAACGGGTAGAGCCATGGGACACAAGGTTTAGACCCTTTGACCGAGTCGAAAAGGATGGGGTTTATGTTCTGATGCGCTACATGATGGAAGACAAGCTCCAACTCTGCAACTATCACCACCGCCCTTCCAAACGATTGTTTTGCAACGTTGGACTCATGGGCCCACAAGTTACGACCAAAGCACGGTGGAAGCCGTATCGCTACGCGACGAATCCCGTGAACACGACAAAGGCGGAGAGGATATTTCAGAAGGACAAAACTGTTTTTACACATGGCCACAGTGATTAGTGAATGCATTCACATGGATTATGGGGCTATGACTGGATGCCGCTAAAGGACTAGTACAAACTTGCAATGTTCATTGCGAATGCATGTCTTCTGCACCACTCTCTCAATCTTCTTCTTAGCATCTTAAAGCACAGAGATGGGAAGTCCTTCAAAGAAGAGACTGCGAAAAGAGGCTCAATCAGGCCTCTCAGGGGGAGATAGGGAGGCGGACGACGCAGGGAAGGGCAGGACTGGTGCTAGTGGCGCCTGCCGTGCCATGGGGGCGGGAGACGAAGGCGAGGGCGAGGCGGATAGAAGCCAAGAGGCCATCGAGTGCCTGTCAATTGGCTCGCACACATCTGAGCGCGAAGACGAACTTTTGGCGGAGGGTGAGAATCTGAGCGGCGCTGCGTTGAGGGCTTTCTTGCAACAGAATTTCGTTGACTACATAGATCGGAAGATACCACATTTTGCTGATTTAGAGGAGACAGATGTGTAAAAAACAAAAAGATGAAACAAGAAGCCTTTGTTGCATACCTCTCTTTCCTTTTGTTTATCATTTTCAGATAAACTGCTCTTCATGTGCCAATGACACATTTTCTTGTTACTCTCATGCGCTCTTTGCCCTCTGCCTGTAGCGATCTTCAAGGGAATGGTCGATTCTGTTGACTGCCACTTCGCTGTCGCGGAGAAGTGCGCCGCTTTTCCGGCGGACGTGAGGGACGTTCGGTACTCTGGCGGGGAAGACACGGTGCTCTCCAGTATTGCAAAAGAAACGACAAGCAGCACGCTTGTGTTAGCGATATTGGATCCAAAGGAAAACGGAAAGGCCCTGATGAAAACACTATTTATGCACTTTGCTGAGGGCTTTCCCACCCCAAGAGGAGCATACACACAGTTCAACGCGTCGTTTATAGACGAATCTGCAGGGGATTTGCTACACTATCGATGTGATCGCCTAAGCGACATCGATGCTGTCATCGAAGAGGAAGATGGACGGAACCGCTGTGGCTCGTTGCAAGCATCTGTGGTTCAACCCAGTAGAAGTACCTTTGTTTTTTCTGATATCCGCCTAACTTTGCTAATATGGGACGAAGAAGACTGCGGGAGTGACTTGGCCCGTGTAGCTGAGCGTGTGGCGACAGTGCTGGGGACCAGGCTTGCGTCCATCTTTGTGTACTTCGCAACTAGGGACGCATCTGTTGTGGAGCGGTGTCTGGGCATGGCCCAAGACCTTCGAAAGGTCTGTCACACCAGAGTCTTCGGAGAGGATGAACCAGTGAGCTCACAGGTTCGTTTACAGGATGTAAGAGCGTGGTCCGTGTTTCTGAACGAGTTTTACCACTTGGCCCCGCAATCAGAGGGCCCATACTTCATTAACCTCAACCCTCGGCTTGCGGCGGGAGAGAAGTTAGCACACGCTATTTCCCCAGGTGTCAGCTATATTGTTGCTGAAGAATGTAATGCGAGCCACGTCGATGTCGTGGTCTTTCCCCTGTGCGGTACGAAGGAGGAGACGGGTCATCGCAGTGTATACTCCCCACACTGCCGCATTAGCTATAAGAATGACATGGTTTACCTTCGCCCAGAGTGCGGTATAACGTATGTTAACGGCGAATTGCTTTCAGCGGAAACCGCGCTGCACCCCAATGACCGTGTTGTCTTGAGCAAAGAGGTGGTGCTGCGTTTTGTCATGGTGACAGAAAATCCGCCTACGACGTCGTCTTCTCGCATATTGGATTGGGAAATGTGCTGTAAAGAGTTTGAGCGTATGACTTCAAGTGATATTCGAGATGCCGAGCGCGCTCAGCTTGAAAGAGAGGTAGCCGAACTGAAGGAGGAGTACGAAGCACTTCAACAACAACTTCAACTAGAGCGTGTAGCCGACGATAAGGCATGGTTGATCCTCAATAATCCGCCTAGTGGCTATTCAGAATCATTTGTGTGGCACCTGGGCTGGATGAAGACAGGGGACTCGATAGCACTCGGACCAAAGGGGGATATTGCACTTCCATTCCTTAGCAGCCCCGCAGTTATTACCCGCACGACTCTTGGTTTCACATACACGTGCGAATCGGTGACACTGAAGCTGGCCCACTCTCACCACTTTCTGAATGGCGACAGCATATTCTCTATCTGCCTGCAGCCTGTTACCTCCTCTGAGAGGAGTATCCCCAAGAAGATGGTGACCGCATTGAACGAGTTGGAGCCATTCTCCGAAAACGATCTTCGAGACTTCCGGAACAGTCTCTTCGAGCTCCAGTGGTCAATTGCTTTGTTGTTTGAGTTTACTTTTCCACTTGAAAAATCGCGCCCGGAAAACTCTACGGAGGACCTGCACCACACGAGGAGGGCGCAAATTTGCACGGACGCCATCTTGACCGAGAAAAACCTCAAATTGCAGAGTGTGGCACGCATCGCGAGGAAAATGACGGAGGCGATACGAATGGTAAACTCCCAATGGGCAGATGAGATCGGCAGTGGGACGTCACCGACAAGGCGCGACGACGTTGAAAAGAATGGCGAGGAGGGCGCTCTAGAGGAACTCTTGATTAGAATCAAGGATGAGACGGAGCTTTCGCATGACTTGCTCTGCAAAGTGCATCAATCAATAGGTAAGGCGTTAATGGGAGCGGATGCACCAAGGGAGGGGCGAAGCCGGCTACAGAGTGTTCCCCCGTTGAAAACGAGATCCTTGGATGATCGCACCAACACTGGTGTGAGAGCGTGTGTTCTGAAAATCAAGGCTAAATGCTTTATCGCTTCTCCGCCTGTGGTACGACGAATGAGCGCCACAGTAGACGTTGTCTCCGCCAGTCTTGATCCCAAAATACTGTGGGAGCGATATTTGAAGATTCTAACCACAATGGTGAAACCACATTCGGACGTTTCCAATGCACCTGCCTCGAAGAAGCAGAATCTGGCACTTGCCCTCCTGGATGTGCTGGTTGTCTTGGACTATAATGTAAGAAATGGGTATATTTCCCCTGAGGATGAAGAGAACCTTGAAGTCCACTTAGCGTCGTGGATGGCCATCGCAGACACCTTCCCGGAGGTTTTTAAAAAGGCAGCGCCACAGAAACGTGGGACTTTTAGAAGTCGCGATGCTGCTCTTCAACGGAAGCCTACACCGAGCATGCGGCATACCTCCCCTGCTTCTCGCTCAACTGCGAGAAAACCACTTTCCCGTCCTGGTACCCCACGTAGTACCACTGGGGTACCTAGTTTGAGCCCTAAGCTGAAGCAACCAACTTCTGCGCATGGAATAGAACCGGTCAGGCGGGTAACNTCTACTGTGAAGTCACCTCGTGGGCTGAGGAGCTTAACACCCACCGGAGTATCCACTCGAACTGTCTACAAACCTTCCAGTGCGAGAAGCACTCCCGCATCTCCGAGGCCTGGCGGAAAAAGTGGCGGCGGTGGTGGTGGAGGAACACCTAGACCTAACACATCCACGATCATACACCGCACGCTGGGAGGTTCAGCAGTCACTGGAGCGGCAAGGACCACACTGCGACCTGGGTCCCGTGCCTTTTCTCCCAAATCTCCCCTCTTACGCGGAGTGGGCGATAGTGGGGTGTCCCTGAAAAAGAAAAAAACACTCTCTGAGGCTGTATGAGTTTCCCTCACTTTTCTTTGTTTTATTAAACTTGAATGAACAACGGAACTCTTTGTAGAAATTGCCATCCATGAAGGCGTTCCCTGGTGAGGTTTTGCCTGTACAACCTGAAAGTTTTGTTTCCTATCTGTCAATGTTTTCCCTACCTTTGCGCTGCTATTATTGTGGTTTTCCGTTCCCTTTAAATGTCATCGCGTTCCGCCTTCCCTTTCCCTTTCGTTGTTCAAAGCATGGGAAAAAGGAATAACAAAGACACATGTCTTTGGCGCTTGTAGAAAAACACGTTGAGAACCCGAAGAGCGGGGGCTCTTGGCACCTTTCGGGGCACAACGGTGACGTGCTGTCTATAGCCACCAGCGGCAGTGATGTTTTCGCCACATGTGATGTGAGAGGTGTTGGCTTACTGTGGAAACACCATGATTTGATTCACGGTGTTAATCGTGCTTACGTCGGTAAGATCGAAACGGGGGGTCCTGCGATTGTTGATGCGTGCTTTTTGCACCATACATGTCTTTGTACTGCTCAAGGAGATGGCACGGTTGGTGTATGGAACGTCGAGACTGCACAACAGGAGCAGTCTCTCTGCCGTGCCTCTGGTCGAGGAAGGTCACATGACTGGCCCGTGATAAACGCTGTATCGGCCTTGAACGGGACCTTATTGGCTTACGGTGGTGATGATGGCTTTTTGGTTGTTGGTGACCCTGCTCAAAATGGAGCTGCTGCAACAACTAATCTGCGGGTGCCAATTATGTCGCTCGCAACATCAAAGGATTCCTTGTATGTTGGAGATGTACTTGGGAATATTCGTTGCTTTGACGTTCGTATGATGAGGAGCATTTACAGTTTTAGAGGTCATCACGACCCCGTAAGTTGTGTAACACTCAACAAGGACCTTACCATGATGGTATCATACGGCATGGACAACATGCTAGCGCTGTGGGATGTCATGCCGTTTGCGCTTAGCACCAGCAGCCGCCTCCTTCACCGTATTCATATGTATCAAGGTGACTCTCAGAGTCTTTTACGCTGCGGTTGGTCTAAAAAAGACACAATTTTAGTGCCTACCGGTGAAGGACACATCGTGTGTGTAACCGCTTCGTTGTTTGGTGGAACGAACGTCTCTCTTCCTGTCCGACACCAAAAGCAGCCAGCTCAGTGTGCGGTGTTCCTTGATGACGATGTTGCAGTTAGTTCAGCTGGAGCTGAGTTGATATTACAGCGTGTATAAGTGCATCTAAGAAGGTGATGCGCAGGTTTTGATTCTCTAATATTAGTGTCTCCGTTTCTAATACTGTTGTAGCCTTTTTTTGTTTTGTTTCCGATTCACTGCTTATTTTTGCTCCGTTCTTTTCCCCCTTATCCTTTTCTGTTTTTTTTTTGTTTCGTCTATTTTTTTTTGTTTTGCTTGTTTCAGAGAAGCACACCGATGGGGGGAGGCGGGAAGGGAAAACGCAGACCCCCGCAGTCTCTCCTCAGCGCGGATGACGCCCCTGAGGGGACTTTCGCCGTGATTGACCCGTTGAGCCAGAGACTCTTCGTGCCGAAGGACTCTATGCGTGATACACTTGCAATGCACAGAGCGGGTGTACCGTCTCTGTGCCGACTCTACCTGCAGGGTCGGTGCCGCCAGGGGGCTTCCTGTTACCAGGCTCATGCCGACATTAATGTTGTTAAGCACCTTCGCGAGATAGCGCTGAGGGAACCGACGTGTTGTGAACGTCACGGTGCAATTAGCGACACTACTTGTATCTCACGAAACTTGATAATTGCTGTGGCTGGGAGTAATGATCAAGAACAAATCCTCAAAACAACTCTTTCACGCGTTACAGTGACCAAAGGCCTGCGACTCTTACTGAAGCAGCAGGCCCTTGATGATAACTCGGCTGAATCCACCGCCGTTGTTCCTTTTGGTTTGTTGTGCCGTCTCCATAATCCGGGTCCTTGCCGCTTCGGCCACGAATGTAACTTTGTTCACCTGTGTCGAGAGGTTATAGCCCAAATGAGTGAACAACAAAAAGAAAAGGAAACTGGCGGTAGAGGCACGTGTGAGGCACCTTTGCCTACTGACGTCTCTGCTATAATTCGATCCCCGCGGAAGACAAACACAAAGGCTGCTTTGGTGCCAAACGAGGCGGAGATTCCTATGGGCATTAGCCCGTTACAGTTTTTTTCACCTCGGCCCGTCTTAATCAGCCGTCCTATAGCCACGGGAATGGTGTCGCTTTCAGGCACACCAAAGCTAAGCACATCACCAGTGCTGTCGCGTTCATACAACTCGACCTCCTTGGGAATTGTGTGGCGGCACAATCCATACGGGGTAGGATCATCCGCATCCTCGGTTGTCGAGACCTAAATGCAGAGTTTCCCGCAGACAGGTGAATTATTCGTGCAACTGGAGCAGTCGTTAAAACATGACGGGTCGGCCTAAATGTCCAATAAGGGGACACAATCTCCTTGGTTTGTGGTGATTTGCTCCTCTCTTGAGGTGTTTCAAAATACCTCCATCATACCTCTTCAGATTTCAATGAGTAACTTTCCCCCTTGTTGCTTTTAATTCTCCCACGTGGCTGCCTTTGATAGATGGGGTGAATTCTGCATGGATTACTCGGACCTGACCTTTGAGCTGAGCAGCTCTGGGTCCGATACCCCGCCAGCGGAAGCACCCCCATGCTTTGCAGAGTGTGACGAAATGAAAGACCCGTCGGCGCTCATTGATGAGAAAGAGAAAGATGAAGAAGACGAGGAAAAGAGAGACGGACANGTTGAACCATCACATCAACAATGCACTCCTTTGGTTGAACCGACAATAAAACTAGAAGACCTGATGGCCCACGCAGCGGTTCGCTTTGTGGAGGCTGGAAACTACGACGACCTTAACCTCCCGGTTTTGGTACGACCACAAAAGAAGACATCTAAGTTTTCTTTGGGGCGCTCATTCCGTTCTGTCGCCTCCTACCTTGTATCCAATGTAGGACCCAGATTTCAGGAGAGGTATATTGCCGTGGAGGAATGCCCCACGCGTTCCGCACTATTTGTAGTGCGTCATGCTCGGCAGAAGAGTAGCAATGCCGATGTGGCAGCTGAAGAGCTCGGTGACGTTGTCGCGAGTTTCCCACTTAGTCGATTGGTGGATGTGGCTTCCTTTTCAGTCCTTAAAAAAGATTTGTTCGTGTTCGGTTTGATTTCTGGTTTTCTGAATCCAAGCAGTACCAATGAAAAGACTGCTGAGACCAATGCCCCAGATCGGGAGATGCCTTCGTTCTTTAGTTCATCTGGTGACGTTGGCTTGCAGCTTGTGTTCAAGGAATCGCCTGCCGACTTCTCGGTGGCGAAGGACCAATTTCGGAAAGTGGAAATACAATTTTTGTCCGCCAAAGAGCGTGATGTGTGGTTGCGGTGTCTGGAGGAGGCCTACATATTCTTCCTCTTAGAGTCTGTACGTACAGGAGATGGCGCTCGGCTGTCAGCTGCCGATGTGAAAGGACTTGTGAGGGAAAGCAACCGGCTACTGCAGGAAAAACCACCACCAGCAGTGATAGAGCGCCATATCGACTTTTTTCTTTCCTCAGCCGGTCGTGAGGTTATAGATGATTCGCATGAGACTCAGGTCGCAGACCCAAATGACGTCCCTTGTGGTGGTATTCTTCGTATTGACTTGGGTGATGGTCACTACGAGCCACGACGGTTTGCGTACAAAAAGTCTGTTAGGTACTCATCCTCGGGTGAAGAGAAGGTGGAGCAGGAGTACCTGGTCATGTACCCAACAACTGTGTCGCAGCATGTGCTTATGGTTCCTAAGCATAAGGTTCCAATTTCGCAGCTGCGTGTTTTTGTGGAGGAAGAGCACTGGGGAAACGCATTCTTTCTCGAACAGACGGCAGAGGCCACGGATTCGCAAAGAAAGTCCCTATTTGGGGTGTGCCGAAGTCATCTTGCTAAGCTACAGTCTGCGTTCACTGCTCCAGTGTTTGTTGGCAGCAACAGTGCTAGCGGTTTTGCCATCACAGAAACGATTGAACTCCAAACCAATAGTTTCCCAAACCGCATCAAATGGCTCAAGTGGTTTGAGGCGGTGCTGAAGAGGCCTGTTGTGTACCTATCACGTGTTCGCGAGGAGAAGGAGGCCGAGGGCTCGACGCGTACCCCAGTTCGACGGGCTAATTCACTCTACCCGGAGTCCATGTCTCCAGAGGCTGGCAGGAGTTAAGAGGTCCCTCATTTTTTCTCGTTTTTCTATTTTTTTCTTTTTTTCACTCTCTCCATACATGTGTGTCTGTGTGTGCGTGTTTGTGGGGTGTGGGCCTTTCCTGCGCAAACGGCTTTCTGTTGGGCAGCAAGGGGGCAACGCTTTCTCAAAATTGAGTACTAAAATTTTCTCTTTGCGAGATAAGGCACAAAGCCCATCTCACACAATGACGAGCTTTCCGTGGTCGCGGAGTCCTCTGGACGGCATACCTTCATTGGTCTGACAGAACACGTTTTCTTCTCTTCTTCCTTCTGTAGCAAACTTCCTTGATTCGCTCAGTTACTTCTTCAGAGTCGGATTGCTTGGATCAGGGACCGTGCCAATACAGTAGTGTAAAACACACGGATCGAGGCCAAAGAAGAACAGAGAAGCGGAAGGACAAAATAAACAAGAGGAATAAAAGGAGACAAAAAAAAGAAGTAAGACCATCATAATGAAGTTTGGAAAGCGCCTTCAGGAGGAGATGGTGGCTCAGTGGAAAGACTACTACGTCAACTACAAGTCCCTAAAGCACTTTATTCGGCACTCATCGTTGACTGGGGCCGAATTCAGCAGCGCCTTTTTTGAGAAAATTGGCGAGGAGCTTAAGAAAGCTGAGGGACTATTCCAGGAGTTGCTGGAAGAGTTGCAGCAGGGACATGATGAACTGCTCGAGCAGGACCCCGACCTTCCGCTTACGCACCCAAAACGCGCCGGACGTTTTTACCGGAAACGATTGCACCGTGAAGTGGAGACGCCGCAGGATGAAGGAGATACGACTGGGTTTGACAGCTCGCGTGCGAGCTCCATGGTGGAGATCGAGGCGGAGCAACGGAAGTGCTTTCCTTCTGCGCTGAAGAACTTCTTCTGGATGCTTATTGGCGATTCTCATAGGAGGGAATATAACGAAGACACGCCAAGGGCCAAGTTTGTGGAGTGGCATTCCAGCGCTCACAGATTGTTACACTTCGCCGAGTTGAACTTGGAGGCAGTCCGCAAGTCTGGGAAGAAACTGAAAAAGTACCGTCGTCGTGAAGGAGACTTCACCCTCTCCATTGAAGCTGAGCTCAGTCGCTCACGCCTGGTTACGCAAATGCCCAGGCTGCACGCGCTGATGTCTGCTGTTAGCGCCGACTACGAACGCAAATACGATGAATCATTAGATCAATACAAAAATGTGGCGATGCAGCAACCGTACCACGCAAAATGGCGATACGTCTTTCTTTCGGCTTCTTTCTTTTGTCTCCTTATGTACCTCCCAATCCTCACGGAGCATCAACCAGCGCATAACTGCGTGGCACTCTTTGGTCTGATTGTCACTCTTTGGATTACGGAGGCGATTCCGTTTTTCTGCACGGCTATGCTTATCCCTATCGTGGCGGTCCCCCTCGGCATCATAGCTGACCCACGCACGCACGAAGTTGCTACACCTACAGTCGCTTCCGGCATCATCCTTGGGAAGGTAATGGACCACGTCCAGATTCTTGTGCTTGGTGGCCTGACGATTGGAAAAGCCTTGGGACGCACTAACTTGGAGGTGTACGCTGCCACTGCACTCTACCGGTGGACTGCCCACCGGCCCTCACTCTATCTACTGGGTGTGATGCTGTGCAGCAGCATTCTGTGTGCATTTGTCTCTAACGTCGCAGCCCCGTTACTGGTGTTGAGTGTCATTCAGCGCACATTGTGGGAATTCCCCGAGGATACGGAGGCCCCTCACGGTATTCTTCTTGGTTTGGCATTTGCATGTAACATTGGAGGCATGCTGTCCCCCATCGCATCACCACAGAACGCTGTGGCAATGTCTATATTGAATTTTCACGATGTGTCATTCGCAGCGTGGGTGGCCATTGCGCTTCCCATCGTCTTGTTCACCGTGATTGTATCGTGGGGCATAATTCTCGTCGTGTGGAAACCCTTTAAGGATGTCTCGAGCATTCCATTGCAGGTGGTGAATGTGGAGACGAGTAAGGAAGCCACGTTAGCAGATCGTGTAGTTGTAGTTGCGGTGTCTCTCACCACCATCATCCTCTGGATCCTTCCACCCACTCTGCTCTTTGGTGACACCGGTGTTGTGGCACTGATTCCCATTGTCGTTTTCTTCGGGATTGGCATACTGGCGAAGGAGGACTTCAACACGCTGTCATGGCATCTCATGTTCCTTTTGGCAGGTGGCAACATGCTGGGTTTGTGTGCACGCGATTCAAAGATGCTGGATATTATTTCAGGTCGAATGCATGACACCTTAGTCAGTCAACCACCATATCTGACACTTGTCCTTCTTATTGCCGTAGTGGCCCTCTTGACAACATTCGTCTCGCACACAGTGGCCGCCATGATTCTTCTTCCCATCATTGTCAAGATAGGCTTCCTGTTGCCGAAGCAAGAGGGTCTCTTGGCTGTGTCTCCCGCGTCTCTTGTGGTACTGTGCGCTTTGATGCTGTCTGGATCCATGGCTTTTCCTATTAGTTCTTTTCCAAACGTAAACTCACTACTTGCAGAGGACTCATCAGGTAAGCCATACCTCAAGGCGAAGGACTTCCTTTTTTGTGGGACGCTGATTACGCTTATAATCGTGGTGTGCCTATGTACGTGGATGGTGCCGTTGTCCTATACCGTTCTTGAAGGAAGGTAGTATTTGGCGGCGCCACGGCTGGGGTTTGTGCCACTAACACTGATGCGGCAATAACTGCTTCGAAAAGTAATATATATATATATATATATATATATATGGTGTTTGTGGTGGTAGTACTGGCGATGATTATTTGGTGTTTGTAGTAGTATTCCTAGGAGTGGTGAGTGCCTTTTGGAGACGCCAGCAGGTGTTTGTCTTGTGCGATGTTACATCTTGTGCCTTTGTGTGAACATGGGGGAAAACTGCCTCTGTGCGTTGCCTTCTAAATGCCGACCCTTTATGTGTCCCCTCCTCCTCCCACCACACACTTCAAGGATGCCCTTTTCATTTGTAGGCAGCGACACGAAATAGGCTCATGTGTGCAAGGCTGTTGTTGCTCTCTACTGTCACGCCTGTTCTGCATACGGTGAGCCGTATAGGAAGTCAATGATTCCCCTCTCTGACATTACTGCGTCCTGGCTGCCTCTGCATTTCCTTGCCCCACCCCCCCTCCTTGTTGTACCAGGCGATTACTTCGCGCTACAAATGCCACTGAGACCATTACTTTTTTCGTTGTACATTTATTTTTGACGAAAATAAGGAGGAGGGGGAGGAGACAGACAAAGTTTGGCAAGAACTCCCGCGTTAGATGAATTTGGAACTCTACGTGACGCTGCTCGAGCTAGCGAAGCTAACTCGCGGCGAGCCGAATGGGGAGAAAGTTCTCATGTGCCGTGCAGAGAAGGTGTGTGCTTCGCGGCCCCGAGAGTTTCACTCTGGACGGGTTTTTAATCTGGGTGGCAGGCTGCTTGACGGGGACTACAAGGTTGGCTGTGAAGCATCTTATGCCAATTTGTACTTCTACGATGAATGGGCGTTCGCGGCTTCCTTTATTGAGGTAGGTGACATCGTCGTGCTGAAGGGATTCACTGTGCAGAACACCCCGCAGATTGGGGATGGCGACGTGGAGTTCCCATTTTTCATTACACCCGTCTTTCACTCGTCGACATTGCGAGTGCTGCAGAGCGGGGTTCAAGGTGACATCATGGAAGTAGTTGTCAAGGCGGGTGCGCTGGACGTGCCTTGCGTTCGTGTTCTTCCAAAAACACTTCGAGCTCCTTTCATTGCTAGTGATGTGAAATGACAGTGGGCCATCCCTTGCAGAAGGCCACATGTAAAGGCTGACCCAGACTCCTGAAACAAAAAAAAACTTTATCCTGACGAACGAAATGCATTTCGCATATTCCCTCTGTCTTGTTTCTCTCCTTTTTTATTTGTTGCCGTCTCCTCCTTCCGGCCCTCAATGTCTGCGTGCTCCCCATTTTCTTTTTTTAAAAAATTCGGACGCTGGAGGTGACGTGGCATCATGTCGCTGAAGGTGTGGGTGAAGCGTAGCGGCGTGGGAGATGAGGAGGCGCTAGGATTGCGTGTCCCTGCGGATGGAACAGCGCACAGTGTTGTGGAGGCGTGTCGCGGTGTCTTTCGGAATTTACAGCCTTCGCCAATGGCCTTACGCACAGAGGAAGGCATCATCATAGCGCTGGCGTCTCCTGTCGCGGCTCTCCAGAGCCACACATTGGAGCTTATCGAGATGCCACAAGCGGAGGCGCCCAAAAAACGTGCTACTCGTCCTGTTGTTACCGCCACAGCCGCTCCTGCTGTTGCCGCTGTCTCGCGTGTGAAGAGTGAACCACTTATTCGGCAACATTTGCCTCAACGACGAACAGCGCGTGCAGCACTGCAGAGTACCGCTGCGATCAATACAGCTTTCTCAGCCAGAAAAGGTGCCCCGGCCCCTCCCCAGAAGACGAAGGGCGTTTGCACTGCTTCCGAGGCGGCAAAGTCTACTTCTACGGTGGACAACTTCACCGTGCTTTGGGACGGCTTGCCGGCGTTCACGCCTCACCCGCCGTGCAGAAACATACCTTCAGTAGCGGGCGTACTGCAGCTTGCAAGGTGCGCCTATATGGCTAGTCTCGGGCCGGCAGCTGCTGTCGACGGCGCCCTTGCGTGTGACGCTGGCGAGGGGCACCCCCCAGGCGGCGACGCAGCGACGTCCTCGAGGAACGATGGCACGCCGGAGCTGCCAGGGTCGGTGAACAACTCCAACAACAACGACAGCAGAAGTCATACCAGTGACACAGGGGATGATGTCATTTGTGAAGAATGCGAGAATGAAGGCATAAAGCAGTCACATGGGGAACACGGTGTGATGTCTCTGGGTGAACTGGGCGCGCTGGAGGGGGTCAAGGAAGAGGTGTCAGCATTCCGCACAGCTAGTGAGCTCCCCTACGAGACCACTGCAGCCATTGCAACACCACTTGTTTTCACGAAAGAAGCAGAGGTAGAGGCGTTGGCGAGGGATGAGACCGCATCTGTGGAACGTGTGACACTAGAAGCAGATTGTCGCGCTGACGTGAACGAAGACCTCAATCACAGTATCCTCCACAACAACGTTAGGGAAAGCGAGGAAACCAGGGATGATGCTGTCGTGGGTGCGGCAGTCAATGACTTGCCTGACAACGGCGAGGCCTACTTTGATGAATGGTAAGGCGTTGCGTTGCGTCTGCTTGGTGTGGGTGTGGTATCCACGCCACTCTTGCTTTTTCTTACCAATTTTTTTTTGTTTTCGTCTTTATGAGCACTCCAGGAAAGCGCAGCTCTTCACACTCGTTCTTTTTACATGCGCTGGTACTACAGGCGGCGGAGATGGTGGTGGGCAGCTCATCTTAGGCGTCTAACGCTGACGACCCTTGATGACCGTTAGTGTTGCTTTGTGCCGTTTCATCACCGCATGCCTGGCTGGCAGGTTGTATTTGAAGATTTTTGCTCTCAAAAATTCTGTACAAGTGTTTTTTTGGTCTAAAGCGTAATGGGTATGCCTTGTACACCCTGCAGCGATTCCATGCGGATAAAAGTCTGAAATGGCAGGGACTCTTGAAGATTCCGTTGATGCCTCTTCATTGGAGCTGTATATATACATCATACATACGTATATATATATATATATATATATATATATATATGTGTGTGTATGTGCGTATCTGTATGTCTTTCTCTCTGAGTGCGTGCGTTTATATGTCTCTCTGCAACTATGTCTTAGCACCTTTTCTTGTTGTACAAAGATTTATTAGGGACATCAACTGCAGAAGTCATGGAGGTCGAGACGAACGATGAGGCGCGCGTTCGTCGTGGCATCGTGGAGGCAACAGTAGAGCACTACCCTTTGCTATCAGAGACACAGGAAGTTAACAGCAAAGTGGCGTCGTCGTCCGGAACTGCTCTCTCGTGTGTAAAGCGACTCAATGACTCCCTTTCCAAGCTACAAAGCCTTAGTCAGACGATGGTGCGAGTAGGCCAACAGTGGCGCAGGGAGAAGCAAGTGGCTCTCAGCACAGTGGCGCAGCACCAGAAGTTGCTTGCCTTTCTAGAGGCACCTGCCGTACTCAATGACTGCATCCAAAATGAGATGTACCACGAGGCGCTGATGGTTCTGGAGCACATCACACGATCAGCGCAGCCGATGGACAAGGTGGAGCTGTTCCGTCGTGTGGAGAGCGAGGTGCGTTGTACGTTGGAAAAGGCGTTGGCCGAAGTTGTCCTCCCACGCTTAGCAGAGCAGCTAACTGTTGCATCTGCCGTTAAGGTGACGACCTTTTTTCGCAGGCTCGGTATTGCTGAGAGCCAAATACGGCAGCTTTTCCTCTGGAAGCGTGCGGAGTATGTGGACAACATACTGCGTGATGCGGAGGAGGGTGGTGTACCGTACTCGCGCATATTTAGGTACGTAACGGCCTTCAAGGTTCATGTGAGTGAGGCCATTCTGCAGTACACCGCTTGTTTTTCCTTGGTGACAGAGGGTGAGCCATGCAACGAGCTCGTTGGATGGTGTCATGAGCGGGCCTACGTCTTCGTTGATTGCTTCCGCGCTTCTCTAGAGAAAATCAGAAACGGCTCCGAGCTGGCTTCGGTCATTGAGCAGTGCTGGAACAGCGCTGCCACCACGACGCTGGTGCACATGGATGTCTCTGGGCTCATCAACGAGGCACTTGCCGCCCGCGTCAAGGCGCTGTTCGCCGACCAGATCGCCCTCGCCGTGCAGTCGTACACTGCTGCCATGATGACGTACTCGTGGCGCCCTCCGGCTGGGCTTCAGTGGAGCTCCCCGCAGAAGCGGCCGGTGCCAGTGCCGTCAGTGGCTGCGCCAGTGCCGCCGCCAGTGAGCCTTGTGCAGTGGCTGCCGCTCGCCTACGCGCTAAACGGACTCCTTACTGCATTTAACACTATCCGTAAGTGTGTGATTCCTGGTGTCGAGCTCTTCTGTGTCGCAAAGGTGGAAGGTTTATTGCAGACGATGGCGAAGGACCTTGCGCGAGACAAGGAACTTCTGATGTCGGTAGAGGGGGGTGAGAAGCAGGTGTACCTGCTTTTTGTGGACGCATTCGTTCACGACTTTTACCCCCACATTCTGGCATCAGCGCGAGAGTTGCTGAGCAGTGATGCGGAGCGCCTCTTGACAAGCGGCATGCGGAGCAGTATTGAGAGTTTGCGAAGTATTCTTCCCGGAGACACCGACCACGCTCTGGATGAGGCCCCACAGCCGGCGGGAAATGCCCCTGAAGAGGGAACCACCTCAGCGACTATCTCGGCTCCCGCCAACACCGACACAACTGCGGCTTTTGCTGAGCTGTAAACAATGGGATGGTGAAACTGTTGGTCTTGCTGAGAAAAGCGGCTTTGATGTGCTGGGGTGGTGCCGATTTCTTTTCCCGTTGCTGCTGCTGTGTGTGTGTGTGAGTGGCGGTGGCGCTGCCATCTGATTGCGCCCCCATCTCACCAGTGGAAGCAGCGGGTGCTGCCGCTCTTACGTGTGATCTCTCTCTTTCTCTCTCGGCTCCTTTGCGTGTTCTTCCCGCGGTAGGCACGTACAAAAGAGCAAATTCAAGTTCAAGGAACGAGAAGAAAGAAGAAGAAGAGAGAAAGAGGTGAAAAGGAAGAAAAGAAAAGGAGATGCTCACCGCACATTACAACCAAATTGGTGCCATGTACACCGTGTCGCACGAGGTGGTCAACCGTGTCGCACTGCAACGAGAGGAGGACGGTCAGTGCGCCTACCACGTGGCAAAGTGCGACTATCAGCTTGCGATGAACCGTATCTCCACTCGCCTGCCGCCCCCCGCGTTGCCTGAGATTAAAGTAGTGGAGGATAATGAGTTCAGCACGTACTGCAGCAGCACCATGGAGAGCATGAGCGGCACAAAGAGAGGTGACGAGGACGACGACCCGGGATACGCAGAGATCGAAAGAGAACTCTATATGCGTGCCATGAAGCGGTGCGAGAAAGACGCGCAAGGAGGGCCGTTGTGGAAGCGCGAGGTCCATGAGCCGATTGAGGTGTTTTTGCACCGTGAGGAACTCGCCCGTCGGGATATTGAAGAAGTCGAGCACGAGTTCTGCCGTAAACTGACGGATCCATTTAACAACCATCCTTTTATGCGGCGGCTCAAGCTCGTGCGGGACGAGCGCCGAGGACGCAAGGCCATCGAGGACGTGTGGATGAGTGAATCGCTCCCATTTCTCGAGCAGTGTTCCATGAAGCAGGTGGAGTTCACAGAAGCCTTTTGGCGCCGCGCTTTCGGCAGACTGAAGAGAGCCCCGGGCACTGCACAGACACGTGCTTCACAATTGCAGTCTGTCGAGCTCGACATGAGGCTTTACCAACCGCTGCGCCACCACAGCGACACGATACGGCGCGAGACCGAATCAGAGGAGGAAATTGCGTTTCGTTACTTGCAGTTGGGCGAGGCGGCACAGCGCGATCTCGTTGCAAGAGGCATCATGCATCGCAACAAGGATACAGGTTTGCTGGACTCTGTGCTGCACCCCATCTCGGCGGTCTACTACGAGCAGGTGGACTTCGCCTTCAGCGCGGAATACCGTTACCTGGTGTCCTGTGAAGAGACGCAGCGGATGGCGATCATCGACGCCGCTTTGTCCTCGTTGGAGGAGTTACGCACATCAATGAAAGTGACGTAGTTGAAGCGGAGTTAAAGTGATTCTCTTACGTTCTTTTTTTTTTATTTTTGGGCTTTGGCCCTGCAAAACATGTACACACGCACACGCATCCCTATGTGGAATAATAGTCTCTTTCTTTTTTCTGCTGCCACACGTTGACGCTACGCTGAATTTGTGATGTGCGCACGCGCAGTGAATTCCGCATTTCTCTGTTCCCACACGCGCCGCACGCATCACCTTTATGTGGTGCTCCCTTTTGCTCCTTGCCAAGCTGATTTATCCCGCTCCTTGCATTTCTTTTTCCCTTTTTTTTCGTTGTTGTTGTTTCCTTTCCCTTCGCCCTCTTTCTTCCGTGTTTCCCACGGTCGCGTTCTTCCTCCACGAACGTCTCGTTGGTCGTGCGCGGCAGGTTTGAGTTCCTGAGAGAAACGGAGTAAATGAACATCGGGCCGGGAAGCGGCAAGGCGGCGCGCTACCAGCCAAAGCCGCAGCTGCGCAAGAAGGAGGTGGTGCACCGCAACCCCAATCATGTTGCGAGGGACGCGTATGACGCGCAGGAAGGTGAGAATCCCCTTATGGACCGCTTGTACAGCGACGGCATCTCCAGCGGCCCGCGGCTCGGGGTGCCGAATCGTCTGGCGCAAGAGCAGCTGTGCGGCGTCGCGTCGACGCGCAAGCGGATGCACGATGAGTCCTCCGTGATGTCGCGGACCCGCGTGGAGCCGCTGGAGGACGATGCCGCGCTGCTGCCGTCACCGTCACCACCGCCGCCGCCGCCGTCGCACCGTACCCTCCAGCTGTACAGGCAGCCCACCCACTGTGATGCGGATCTTAAGAGGGTGTTCGCCACCAGCTACGCTGAGAACAAGGCTGTGACGCTGTCGCTGAAACGTGGGCGGTCTGTCCCTGGCCGGCTGAAGCCGCTTGCCGCCGCCGCGCAGCAGCAGGACGAGACACAGGATGAGGAGCGAGCAGGGGCCCAAACAACGCTCATGCAGGTGAGCCCAATACCACGATTCACGAAATTACGCTCGAACGCACCGAATGAGTTTACTTACCTTGTTATGCGGCCAAAGGGGATCCGTGATCCGTACAATCCATACGACTTGCAGGCGGTGTCGCACAAGGAAATTGATCCGTCGAATTACTACACTGTTTCTGCCGCGGGTGTGACGAAGTTCTCCGGCCATGCGGCTGAATTCATTGAGCTACACACGTGGGAGCGGGACTGTCGCATATTCCATCAACTGAGAGAGCTGGATGTCTTTCGGGACTACAAGAAGTGGAAGAGTTTTCTGCTGTGGCGAGGTCTCGTTCGCAACCACGCGATGTCCAACTGCAAAACGTTCCTTACAAAGAACCTCTTCCACGTACATCCACATCTATCTGGTGCGCTGCAGACAGTGCGACGTATGTGCATAGACTGCCTCAACAACGACAGAATGCACCTCCCAGCAACAGAGACCCGCACACTGGAGTCTTTTTGTGCTACGTTGGCGTCGCATGTGAATTTTCAGCGGAATCGCCTGGACAAGATGATTAAGAGCATTCGTGACACCGTCGAGCGGGCATGCAAGGCGGCGATGTTGGCGGCACAGTTGGAACGTGAAACCGTCAGTGCCCTGCACGCTGAGGACGACAAGAAAACGAAGAAACTCATTGATGTCCGTGAATTAGGGACGCAGCAAAAGCCCACCTACATTGAGATGTCACAGAAAAAGGCTGTCTGCCAGCGTTTAACGGCCTTCATCCGCTTATGCGATTACATCATTATTCACTGCCTGACAAGGCTGGCGGCGAAGGCTGTCGAGGACGTCCATCACGACTTTCGCTTCCCCAAACCGCAAAAACCGGCAGAGCCACCTGCGTGCAAAAACCCAAAGACGTCGGCGAAGTCTAGGCGGCAGGATGCAAATGCCAAGGCTGAAGCGCAAAAGGCGACAGGCCCTTTCACAGGTCCTATACTCAGTGTTGACATTCTGTATAGCGAGAACGAGGAGATCATCAACGTCACACCATCTCTCCCGCAGATCATTGAATGTGTGGAGGATGTTGTGAAGGATTACATAAAGACACTGAGCGCGGTTCCACGGCTGGTGGGGATGGATGCCTTCAAGGTGTTCACTGATAACGCGGTAGATGAAGCGCAGCCTGAATTTTCTTCAGGTCCAGCTGTGGGGGAGATGATCGTCTCAGAAGAGGCATACAAGCAGCATATTGTATCGATACGTGAGGGTATCGCAAAGGCATACGCTGTTGTTGAAGAGTATGCAAACGGCTTCGAGTGCTTCAGGGACATGTACGTGGAGAATAGCCGCCTAGATGATGAAGGTGTGCGGAAAAGCGGCGTTGGACTGGAATTCTTCCGCGAGCGGCTTGCCTTATACAAAGCTCAGGGCGAGGCCATCACGACCAAGATACCCAACTCAAAGGATGTGGCGCTTTTTACGGTCCACACCGAGTCACTGCGGGAGTTCTTCAGTCCGAGTCCTGTTGCATGCCTCAAGACATTTCACCGACTACTTCCTGTTATTGCACATCAGCAGAACGAGGCATTGCTGGCAGATCTGCAGAGTTGCAATGTGTATCTCTCCACCCACCCAAAAACGGTGGAACACTATGTAGAGTACCTGGCCTATTACAAGTCACTAGAGGGCCGATTCGACGCCATTTCGGCGTCGTACGATTTTATCCGTGAGCTGTTCAATTTGTTGCAGGAAGAAAAAGTGGAAATTGAGGAAGATGTGGAGGAAACATACCGAAGTGGAACACGACCGCAGTTCGAGAAGTTGCGCACGCTGATGCAAATCATCGAAGATAGCAGAGATTCACAACAGCGTCACTTCATTCGCAACATTGATGAGCAGATGGAGGAGCTTCGTCACCGCATTGAAGCTGTCTATGACCGTGCTGGTCAGCCTATCGTTGCAGACGACAAGGCTGACATTGACGAGGTGATTACTTTCATCACGGCGTTGCAGACTGAGGCGGAAGGCATCGCCGCACGGGAGAAGGAGTTGCGGCAGTACCAAATTGTCATTGGAGGCGAAGAGACGGCGGTGGAGACAATGACGGAAATGCTGAACGATGTGAACGTAAAGGCGCGCCTCTGGGTGGGTATGCGGGAGTGGGACACCTTCACAGAGGAGCAGGGTCCCATTCCATTCGAGCAGCTCGATGTGCCAGCGGTGCAAGAGAAGGTGCAGAAGTATGTCACAACTGTCAAGCAGGTCTCATCTAAGCTGGCAGGCAATGCCGCGGTATCCAAGCTGAAATCTAAGGTGGAGGAATGGCGTGTTTTAATACCTATTCTGCAGGCCCTCACGAATCCCAAGATGAAACTTGAGCACATGTCCAAAGTTTCGAACGTTATTGGGCCACTGGAGGACGAAAGTGGAAATGCCAAGACCCTCGCCGACTGGAACAACCAATTTACCCTCGGCATGTTGCTGAAGAATAACGTGGTGCGATACAGGGATGATATTCTTGCTGTTAGTGCAGCGGCAACGGAGGAGGATAAATTGCAGCAGCAGATAGACAAGGTGAACGCCCTCTGGAATGGTGGGGGCCCGAAGCCGCCAATGGAATTCCAATTCCACAATCACAAGGACATCAAAGACCTCTACACCCTCGTCGGCTCATCCGTGGAAGATGTCACGGCGCTACTTGAGGACTCTGCTATTGCCATGTCGACAATTGGCTCAAGCCGCTGCTGCCAGGGCGTGCTGCGCGCGCAGGTGGACCGCTGGGAATATCGCCTCAGGTACATGCAGGAGACGCTCGACCGTTGGGTGGAGCTGCAGCGCAACTGGATATATCTTGAAAACATCTTTTCCTCTGCAGAGATACGCAGCCAATGGAAGGATGATGCGAAGCGCTTTGAGAAGGTTGACCGTTTCTTCCGAGATTTAATGCGGAAGGCTCACGACATGCCAACGGCGTACCGCGGTCTGCTCATCAACGCACCTGTAGAAAGCAATGAACAGATGACAGGCAAGACTCTCAAGGTTGACCTTGAAAGCAATATCAAGGAAGTGGAAAAAGTTCTTGCGAGTCTGGAGCGCAGGCTTGAGGAGAAGCGTCGTGCTTTCGCGCGCTTCTACTTCCTCAGCAACGATGACCTTCTTGATATACTCGCGAAGGTGAAAACACCCGAGCTTATTATGCCACACATGTTGAAGATGTTTGACGGCATTAAGACTTTGGCATTTGCTGAATCCAATGACATCACACACCTCGTTTCGATGGAAGGTGAGCTGGTGGAGCTTGTCAATAAGAGTATCAAGGCGCGTGGTCCAGTTGAGACGTGGATTGACATGCTGGAGCGCGAAATGTTCTCCACGCTGCGCAAGCATGCCAGCACATGTCTCAATGATTATGAGGCGAGAAACGACCGTGCGGCGTGGATGTTCCAGCACCCGGTGCAGCTTGTGCTCATCATGGAGCAGCTGTTGTGGACACGCGGCGTGGAAGAGGCGCTCGGTCAACCAGACTCAGAGCAGCTTATGGCGGCTTTCAAGCAGGAAAATTACACGAAACTGGAGGAGCTTGCTGGTCTCACGGCCCGTAAGCTGACGAAGGTGCAACGCATCCTTCTTTCCACACTCATTACTATTGACGTTCACGGACGTGATTTGGTAGACGAGATGTGCGAAAATGGTGTCTTGGAGCCGAAAGAGTTCGGTTGGACCAAACAGTTGCGCGTGTACTGGGAGCAAGATGAAGACGGACACGGCAACATCTTTATTCGACAGAACAACTCACGTTTTGTGTACGGCTATGAGTATCTGGGTGCGCAAGGTCGCCTCGTCATCACACCACTCACGGATCGCATTTACATGACGGTTACGGGCGCGTTGAAGCTGCAGCTTGGCGCCGCACCGGCGGGTCCCGCTGGTACTGGCAAGACGGAGACCGTGAAAGACCTGGCGAAGAACTTGGCTAGACAGTGCATTGTGTACAACTGCTCCGATGGTGTGACGTACAAGATGATGGAGAAGTTCTTTTCGGGTTTGATTCAAACAGGGGCGTGGACCTGCCTCGATGAGTTTAATCGCATCAACATTGAGGTGCTGTCTGTGATTGCCTCACAGCTGCTCGAGATCAAGCTCGCACTCCAGAACGGCCTTGAGACATTCACGTTCCAGGGAACGCCTAACGTGCGGGTGCGCCGCACGTACGGTGCGTTTGTGACGATGAACCCCGGTTATGCGGGCCGCACGGAGCTACCAGACAACCTTAAGATTCTCTTCCGCCCGGTTGCCGTCATGACACCTGATTTCCGCATGATCGCAGAGGTTATTCTCTACTCCGAAGGCTTCACGAATGCAAAGGACCTCTCATTGAAAATCACGCAACTGTACAAGCTCAGTTCGGAACAGCTTTCACCGCAGGACCACTACGACTTCGGCATGCGTGCGCTCAAGTCGATTCTTGTCATGGCAGGTGATTTGAAGCGTTCGCAGCCAGACGTGGAGGAAGATCTCACTCTCATTGTCGCGTGTAATGACTCCAATGTGCCGAAGTTTGTCGCAGAGGACCTTCCACTCTTTCGCGGTATCATGCAGGACTTGTTTCCTGGCGCTAACTTTCCGGAGCGGGAGTACGAGGAGCTGCTTCCCGCCATGCAAAAAAGTATTGATACGAAAAAGTTGGTTGCACACGACACGTGGGTGAAGAAAGGAATCCAGTTCTATGAAACGCTCATTGTCCGCCATGGTGTTATGATGGTTGGTGTCACCGGCACAGGGAAGACGGAGATTCGCAACTGCATCTCAGATGCCCTCTCTACGATGGCAGAGGCAGAGTCAAGCAACCCAATGGCGCGGCCGGTGCATCAGTTCGTCATGAACCCCAAGTCTGTGATGCTGCATGAGCTGTATGGTCAACTGGACGTTAACACGAACGAATGGCGGGATGGTGTGTTGTCGGTCATTGCAAAGAACTGTGTTCGTGACTCAGAGGGAAGCAAGGATCACCGCTGGATTGTATTTGATGGCCCTGTTGACACGCTGTGGATTGAATCGCTGAATTCTGTCCTGGATGATTCCAAGCTGCTTTGTCTCGACAGCGGTGAGCGCATCAAGCTTCCCGAGACGATTCACATGCTCTTTGAGGTGGCGGATCTGGCCGTCGCGTCGCCTGCCACTGTCTCTCGCTGCGGTATGGTTTACCTTGACGCCGCAGATCTTCACTGGAGTGCGGTGGTGCGTCAGTGGGCAGCGTCGAAGCTCGCCGATGCGGGTGGTCAGCCGCAGTGTGGCAACTATATTATTTCCCTCTTTGACACATATGTGCAGAAGGGACTCGACTGGCTGGCGATGCAGAAAGTGCTCATCGGTGGCGGTGTGGTGAATGTGGTGCAGTCCCTGTGCGACCTCTTCACAGCTCTGGTGCAATGCAACGAGGTGACGCTTATGCCTGACCCACCGGGCGAGACGGTGCTACCTCACGATTCTAAGATTTTCAAGGAGCGGAATGAACTCTGCGGGCTGCTCTTTGCCTTTTCCTTTGTGTGGTCCATTGGCGGCAACGTTGACCCCGCGTCGATGGAAAGCTTTGATACACTAGCCCGCAACCTGCTTGAGACAGTGGTGCGTTTCCCCAATAGCGGCTCAGTGTATGACTACATGATTGACTTCTCCTCACGTCTCTTTGTTCCATGGGAGACTCGCATGGCGGAGTTCCGTTACGATGTACACATGCCGTACTTCGATATCCTTGTCCCGACCATAGATACTGTGCGTTACAGCACATTGGCGAAGACACTGATTCAGTACGGTAAGCCGTTGCTATTTAATGGACAGACAGGTGTGGGAAAGAGTGTAATCCTTACGGACTACCTTACGCGCAACAAGGAGGAGATGAAACTGTCCGTCATCGTTTTTCAGTTCTCTGCTCAGACATCGTCGGAACGGACGCAGGAGTTGATTGAGTCTAAACTGAAGCATAAGCGCAAGAACATCCTCGGGGCGCCGCCTGGACGGAATGTGGTGCTCTTCATTGATGACCTCAATATGCCGGCGCTCGAGACATTCGGTGCTTCACCGCCTATCGAGCTGCTGCGTCAAGTGATGGGCAACGGTGGGTTTTACGACCGCAAGATCGCCGGTTTCTGGAAGCATGTGCAGGATGTGACAGTTGTGGCAGCGTGTGGGCCGCCAGAGGGCGGACGTAACCCCGTGACGGCGCGACTCACCCGTCTCTTTCATCTCTTCCACATTCCGACCCTCAATGATGAATCGATGAAACGCATCTTTCACTCCATCCTGCAGGGTTGCTTCCAGGCGAAGAACTTCAGTGAAGAGGTTCGGGACATGACCAAGTCTCTTGTTGCTGCCAGTATCGACATTTTCACGAAGCTGCGCGATGCTATGCGGCCGAAGCCAGCGACGCCGCACTATACTTTTAACCTGCGCGACCTGGCGAAGATATTCCAGGGCATCACGCAGGTGACACCGCGTGTGTGCAGGCAGCGACGCTCCATCACACGCCTTTGGATACACGAGGTGATGCGGTGTTTCTACGACCGCCTCGCGTCGCCGGAGGACCGCCTGTACTTCACAGAGGAACTTATGATGGACTCCCTGACGCGTCTCGTTCCTGGGCAGCACTCGCACGGGGAGTACTTTGAGGGTGATCCGCTCGTGTGGGGTGACTTCCTGCGCATCGGCGCAGTGGAGCGGGTGTACGAGGAGATGGCGGATTTCAGGAAGCTCCCGGCACTCTTTGGGGAATACCAGGATGACTATAACGCGTACCTTACCGGCAACGCAGGAAAGGATGATGATAACAACAGTGGCGGAAACGGCGGCAGTTCGTTCCTCAATCTTGTCTTCTTCAAGGACCACTGTGAGCATTTGGTGCGCATCATCCGCATTTTGCGGCAACCACGCGGCAACGCGTTGCTTGTTGGTGTAGGCGGCTCAGGTAAACGATCGCTGACGCGACTCGCCGCCTCTATTGCGGAGCGGCAGACTTTTGAGATATCTGTTGGAAAAGGTTACTCCATGAACGAGTTCCACGAGTTTCTCCTTGAACTCTACACCACCACTGGCGTACACTGCAAGCCCTCCGTATTCCTTCTCTCGGACAACCAAATTGTGCACGAGGGGATGCTGGAGGACGTGAACAGCATGCTCAACTCTGGCGAGGTTCCATCACTCTTCACCCCTGATGAGCGTGAAAAGCGCGTCAATGCGTGTCTGGAGGGCGCGCATGCGCGTGGCATTACGGACCGAGATGATGTATACAACTACTTCATCTCACGCGTTCGTGACAACTTGCACGTTGTTCTCTGTATGAGCCCTGTTGGCGATACGTTCCGTACCCGCTGCCGCCAGTTCCCGTCGCTGACTAACTGCTGCTCTATTGACTGGTTCGATGAGTGGCCACATGAGGCCCTCCTCGGCGTGGCGCAACGCCTTTTTGAAGACACAGAAAAGGGGGTTTCAAACCAACTCTTGCCTGTATTGCCGCCGCTCTGTGTGGACATTCACACAACAGTGATTACTGTGGCGCAGGTGTTCTGGGAGGAGCGGCGGCGGCGCTACTACATCACACCGACATCGTACCTGGAGTTTATTGAGCTATACAAGGCACTCTACAACGAGCAGCGTGCACTACTGGAGGAGCAGCTCTCTCGCGTCGTTAACGGCAAACAAAAAATGAAAGAGACAGATGAAACTATCGCCAAGATGAAGGTAGAGATCGAGACAAAGCGTCCACTGCTTGAGAAGGCTTCAAAGGAGACGGAGGAGGTCGTCGCGGACTTGTCAGTGCGGCAAGCAAAGGCGAGTGAGGTGCAGGTGCAGGTGCGAGCCCAGCAGGAGAGCGCTGCGGATCAGCAGAAACACGCAACCCATATTGCCAATGAAGCCAATGCCCGTCTTGCAGAGGCAAAGCCCATCATCGACAAGGCGAAGGCTGCCCTTGACACAATTCAGGCAAGTGACCTGAACGAATTGCGATCCTTTGCAAATCCGCCCTCTGCTGTTCTCAAGACGACACAAGCATGCATGGTAATGTTCGACCCGAAAGACTTTGGTGGCGCGTGGTCAGGTAACACGGACTGGAAGGGTGCACGAGAGTTTCTGTCGTACCGCCCGCTTCTCGATATGATCCGAGGGTATCCTACCGACAACGTGAAGCCGTCTATCCTGCAGAAGGTTCAACGGTATGTGAATGATGAAGAGTTTACCGTGGAAATTTGTTCGCAAAAGGGTTCCCAGACGTGTGGTAGCCTATGTGCGTGGGTGCATGCCGTGAATGAGTACTCGAAAGTCGTGAAGGAAGTTGCGCCGATGCGGGCTGCTGCGGCGGAGGCGGAGCGTCACCTTGCGGAAACCAATGCAAAGTTAAAAGCTGCGCAAGAGACACTGCGTGACGTGGAAGCGGAGCTCGCTGAGTTGCAGAAGAACTATGAGACGAGCTCTAAGCGGAAGAGGGATCTGGAGGAAGGGCTGAAGGTATGCATCCGCCGTCTTGAGAACGCAGAGAGCCTCTCGAGCTCCCTCAAGAGTGAGGGCGTGCGTTGGGAGGAGAATATCCAGCAGTTGCGTGCGCGGCTTGAGCAGCTGCCGCTACAGTCTTTTATGGCAAGTGCGTGCGTCGCGTACTTCGGTGCCTTCACACCGCTCTTCCGCAAGCGTCTTGTGCGTCTGTGGCTTGACAAACTGACCGAGCACAATCTAGACGCGGGAGACTTCACTCTGCGTGACACACTCGGTGACCCGATGGACATTCTCACGTGGCAGATCAACGGCCTTCCGGCGGACGAGAGCTCAACGGAGAACGCCATCATCGCGTCCCTCTCCACCGCGCCGCGCCGCTGGCCACTCTTCATTGACCCACAGGAGCAAGGTGTGAAGTGGCTTGTGCAGCAGTACGCCGGGGTGGGGGCGACAGGGGCAGCGAAGAGCCTGACGAAGATTGCCGCTGCGGTGAAAGTTATCAAGCTGACGGAACCGACGTGGATGCGCACACTAGAGACGCAGATTCGCCTCGGGGGTGTGGTGATTTTAGACGATGTTGGGGAGACACTCGACCCCGCACTGGAGCCGCTGCTGTCGCGCCGCATCTTTGCTGCGGAGGGCGGCACGCCGCAAATCATACTGACACCGCAATCTGGCGCGATTGACTACAACCCGAACTTCCGTTTCTTCATCTGCTCGAAGCTGCCAAACCCGCACTACCTGCCGGACATCAGCACAAAGGTGACAGTGCTAAACTTCACTGTGACGCTCGATGGTCTCGAGGACCAGCTGCTTGGTGACGTTGTCTCCATTGAAAAACGGGAGCTTGAGGAGGAAAAGAACCGCATTATCCAAAGCATTTCCCAGGGGCAGAAGAAACTTAAGGTTATTGAGGAGACAATTCTCGGAAAGCTCAAGAATACTAAAGGTAACATTTTAGACGACAGTGACCTCATCGCTGAGCTCAAGTCGGCCCAGTCGAACGCGCATGTCCTTGGTGAGAACCAGAAGGAAGCCAATGAAAAAATGAAGATCATCACGGCAACGCGTGATTGCTACCGTGACGTGGCGGTCCGCGCCTCAGTGCTCTTCTTTGTTTTGGCTGACCTCTCCCGCATCGATCCCATGTATCAGTACTCACTGCAGTTCTTTGTGAAGCTGGTGCAGCATGAGGTACAGGTCACCGAGAAGCCGGCTCAATACTCTGAGTTAAACCCGACGATGCTGCGGAATCATCTCGACAATATCATCTCGCGATTGACTCTAACCACATATGAACAGGTTTGCCGTGGCTTGTTTAACAAGGACAAGACGATTCTTTCTCTTCTTATTTGCACTGCCATTGCACGTCACAACCGTGAACTGCTGGAGGATGAATGGCAGTACTTCATCCGTGCCTCTGCCCTGGTGCCGAGTGATCTCCCACCGCTGCCAGACAAGTTGTCGTTTTTGTCCCGGCAGCAATGGGAGCTTACTGTAGCACTTTTCCGAAACGTGCACTGCTACCGAGCTCTTGAAACTAGCCTTCAGAATGATAGCGGGGCGTGGAAGGAGTTCATTCACTCGGAGGCGCCGCAGGACGCCCTGTTACCCGGCGACTGGAATAGTAAGTTGAACGCCTTTCAGCGTATTTTGCTTATTCGCTGTTTCCGAGAGGAAAAATTGTTCTTTGCGTTGACAGATTACGTGGGACGAGCGATGGGGGAGCGGTTTGTGGAGCCGCCGCCCTTCAGCTTGGAGGTCGCGCTGGCCGACAGCTCCCCGACGACACCGATTGTGTTTATTCTCTCTCAGGGGGCGGATCCGATGGGAACGCTGCAGGCCTTCGCGCAGAGCCAGGAACGCGTCCTGCAGTACGTGTCGCTCGGTCAGGGACAGGGGGAAAACGCCAAACGACTCATTGCCACATGTCGCAAAAGTGGAAGCTGGGCACTATTACAGAACTGTCACTTGTCAAAAACCTTCATGCCGGAGTTGGAGCTGCAGGTTGCCGGCCTGCAGCAGCCAAGCGCAAGTGTCCATCCAGATTTCCGCCTTTGGTTGACGTCAATGCCAACCAACTTTTTCCCTGTCTTTGTGCTGCAAAACAGCATCAAACTTACCAATGAACCACCGACGGGATTAAAGGCGAATATGGTCCGCTGTTTTAGTGGGATCACGGAGGAGGAGTTTGAGGTGTTTGGTGATGATGAGCGCATGGGGGTTCACTCTAAGAGTATGGCCTTCAAGAAGCTTTTATATGGTCTGTGCTTCTTCCATTCCGTGGTGCTGGAGCGAAAGAAATTCGGTCCACTGGGGTGGAATGTGCGCTATGAATGGAATGACACGGATTTCCACGTATCCAAGCAATGGCTGCGTCTTTTCTTTGAGGAACAAGAGGTCATTCCGTGGGAGTCGCTTGAATACATCATTGGTCAGATCAACTATGGTGGTCGTGTAACAGATCCACTTGACAGAGGCACGCTGCAAACGATCCTGCGCAGTTACATCTGCCCGTCTATCATGGAAAACGACTTTATGTTTAGCCCTAGCGGCAACTACTACGCCCCGCCAGCCGGTAGCTTGCAGAGCTTCATGGAGCATATTCAGCAAATGTCTCTTGTGGATGAGCCTGAGGTATTTGGCATGCACACCAACGCGAATCTGCGTTACCAGCTGCAGGTTTCACAGTACCTCATGAGTACCGTTGTGTCCATTCAGCCGCGTCTGACCGGGGGCGGCGGCGGCGGCGGCAGCAGCAGCAGTGGTGCTGACGGCGGTGCCAATACTCCAGAAGATGAAGTGAAGCGCAAATGCGAGGAATTTGCCGCCACACTCCCAGAAGTCCTCTCGCGTGATGAAGCCGGACCCAAGAGTTTCACAACTCTGGAGAATGGCCTTCCTAATTCCATGTCAACCGTTCTGGCGCATGAGATGGTGAAATACAACAAACTCATTACGACGATGCGGAAGGCGATTCACGACCTGCAGAAGGCACTGCAGGGTCTCACTGTGCTTTCGGCCGATCTGGACTCGATGTACGACTCTTTCTTGACTGATCAAGTCCCCCGTTTATGGAGCGCGGTGGCCTACACCTCCCTGAAGCCGTTGGGCTCCTGGTACCGTGACTTCCTGGAGCGGGTGCGGTTTATCCGCACCTGGGTGCAGAAGGGCGAACCGAAGAGCTTCTGGATCGGCGGCCTCTATAACCCGAGCGCATTTATGACGGGTGCGTACCAAGCCTACTCCCGCGCGGAAGGCGTTTCAGTCGACAAACTGGGCTTTAGCTTCCGCATGGTGGACGTGGACGTGGACCACATTGGCAGTGGGCCGGAGCGCGGCTGCTACGTGCACGGCATCTACACGGACTCATGGCGCTGGGACGCGGCGCAGGGTGCCATGGCGGACTCGCTCCCCGGCGAGCCGCACGCGCTGCTGCCGGTGGTGCACTTCCTGCCGGAGCCGTTCCACAAGACGGAAGAGCGTTGGCACCGCGTGCCGCTATACCGCACGGTGGTGCGCGCCGGTGTCATCTCGTCCCTGGGCGCCAGCAGCAACTATGTGCTATCGCTCGAGGCACCGACTGAGAAGGGGACGGACTATTGGCTGCTGATGGGCGCCGCCTGCGTCTGCGCGCTCGCCATCTAGAGCGGCCATGAGGAATGTACACTAGACGAAAAGGGAGGGAAGCAAAGGCAAACATATACGCACAAAAGAAAGCAAAGATACAGATGAAGAAAAGATATATAAAAAAAGAAAATCAGCAAAAACAAAACAAACAACAACAACAAGAAGGCGAATGAAGAAAAGACTGTCGCATACACAAGTAAGGAGGGTGGGACGAGCAGGCTACCTTCTGCCTGCTGGATTCTCTCATTCGTTTTTTTTTGTTCTTGTTTTCCGTTTTCGTGAGGGGGGAGATATGAGGCGCGCTATAGAGAAGACATCGCATGACATCGCGATGCGAAGGCAGAACCCTGCCTGAATGAATAATAACATGTAGGTTACGTTGCAGAGACTTTCTCTTTGTGTTCTGTTGAACCGTGGATGTATGCTGGCGGTGTGTAGTTCCCGCCTGGCGCACACGAAAGAGTGATACACAAACGTAGGTGCGCGGTGCCCGGGTGGCCGCAGCGTGGTTGGGCTCGGTGCGGCTTGATGGCAGCGGTGTTATGCGCCTCCCTGTTGTTTTTCCACTCTTTCCTCTCCCCTTGGTGTGTTTCTTTTTTTTTTTGTTTGCTTTCGCTTTATTATTCGGCGCCAGGCAGCAAAAGAGAGAAGGACGATATGGTGAACGCGAACTACATCCGCGCCGGCCGTCTGGTGCGCATCATCCGCGGCCCCCGTCAGGACCGCGTCGGCGTCATTGTTGACATCATCGACAGCAACCGCATCCTCGTGGAGAACCCGTCCGATGAGAAGATGTGGCGCCACGTGCAGAACCTGAAGAACGTCGAGCCACTCAAGCTAAACGTGCCCATCAGCCGCAACTGCAGCAGCAAGGCGCTCAAGGAGAAGCTCGCGGAGAAGAAGACGCTCGAGAAGTACGCCGCCACGAAGGCTGCCACCCGCATCGCCGCGAAGAAGGCCCTCGCCACCTCCACCGACTTTGAGCGCTACCAGCTCCGCGTGGCGAAGCGCTCGCGCGCCTTCTGGACGCGCAAGGTGTTCGACGAGAACGACAAGAAGAACCCCGTCTCGTGGCACAAGGTGGCGCTGAAGAAGCTGCAGAAGAACGCCAAGAAGATCGACAGCAAGCCGGCGGCCAAGAAGCGCATCGAGAAGGCTCGCGCTGCCCGCAAGGCGAAGGCTGCGACCGCGAAGAAGTAAGCATCGCGTCTTTTTCTCTTCGTACTGCCAGTGAACCTTTTTTGATTTCTGTTTTGCTTGGATATCCTCCAGTCGTTTCACGGCGGGCTTTTCGTTGCTGCCCACACGGGTCTCCGTGACACCGTCTGCCGCGGCGCTTGCGTATGTCCACGCTGTTCTCTCTGAACCCCTTTTCTTCTTTTTTTTTTTGTTCTTTGGCTTTCCTCTTGTACTCTTCACAGCGTGCATTGCAGAGGGATGGAGCAGCGGACCACGTTTGACGAGATGGTGCTGCGGTGGGTGGAGTCGCTGCACGGGCTCCCGCGTGAGGCGCGGTTGCGCGTGCTGCAGCACACGTGCGACAGCCTCGCATTGCGGCCTGACGCGAAGCCGCTCGCAGCAAAGGCGCAGTCGGTGATGCGAGCCGTGCAGACGGCGCCTGACACGGGAGAAATGCGGCGGGTGGCGGTATCACTGGTGAAGAACTGCGTCGCCGCTTCGATAGAGAAACAGTTGGTGCCGTATTGCACGTTGACGCTTCGCTGCGGCCATCGCACCGTTCGGCGACTCGCGGACGCGGCAAATGTGGCTGCGGAGCTCGCTGCGCAGAACACAGCAGCAACGGGGCGGTGGCGGCTTGTCGGCGAACCGCAGACGTGGGCCCTCGCCACTGACGGCATGCGCACCATTGGGGTGCGAACGGGGTTTGCGTTGGACAGCGAGGAGGTGACAGTGTCGTTCCACGACGAGGTGGCGTTCGACGCGTGCGGCCGCGTCGACCACATCGAGCGCACCTTGTTGGTGAGTTGCCCGTCGAACGAAGACGACGTGCGGGCGGCGTTGTGCTTTGGTTCCACGTGTCTCCCCGTGAGTGGGTGAAGGAGTCAGCAAGACGTTGCGTTGTTGTTGTTGTTGTTGTTGTGTGCATGCTCAAGCTCCGGTGGGGGACGTGGCGAGGCCTCTTTTTTCTGCACCACTTTCACACCACCACCGTGCCCCGTTGTCTGCCGCCCCTCAGTCTTCTCTGTTGTCTTGTTTTTGTGCTCGTTTGCTTTTTTGTTGGTGTTGTTGTTGTGGTGGTGGTGGTTGTCGTCTTAGTCAAGCAAGAAGAAAAAAAAACCGAAAACATCATGCCAGCTGCAAATTCATGTAAGACGGTGGCCGTGACGGGTGCGGCAGGTCAGATCGGCTACGCACTGCTCCCTTATATCGCCAGTGGCCGCATGCTCGGCCCCTCTCAGCATGTGCAGCTGAACCTCCTCGACATCGAGCCTGCAATGAAGGCGCTCGAAGGCGTTCAGGCGGAGCTCGTGGACTGCGGATACACGCTGCTCGACAAGGTCGTCATCACATCCGATCAGAAGGTTGCCTTTAAGAACGTGGATGTCGCTATCCTCTGCGGCTCGTTCCCGCGCAAGGCGGGAATGGAGCGTAAGGATCTCCTGCAGATAAATGCTAAGATCTTCGCAGAGCAGGGCCGCGTCCTGGGCGAGGTCGCCGCCCCTGACTGCCACGTGTGTGTTGTCGGCAACCCGGCAAATACGAACGCCCTCATTCTGCTTCAGGCCTCACAAGGGAAACTCAAGCCAACCAACGTGACGGCGCTTACGCGACTCGACCACAACCGCGCAACAGCACTCTTGGCGGCGCGCGCCGACGCCAGTGTGGAGGGTGTCAAGAATTGCATAATCTGGGGCAACCATAGCGGCACGCAGGTACCGGATATCAACAGCGCACGAGTCAAGGGCAAGCCCGCGCGCGCGGCTCTGGAGCCGGGTGCGTTCCGTGACGACGAATTCATTGCCACCGTGCAGCAGCGCGGTGCGGAGATCATCAAACTGCGCGGCCTCTCGTCGGCCCTCTCCGCGGCCAAGGCCATCACGGACCACGTGCACGACTGGATGCTCGGCACACCGGAGGGCACGCATGTGTCCATGGCGGTGTGCAGTGACAACAACCCGTACGGCGTGCCGGCGGGCCTTATCTTCTCGTTCCCAGTGACGTGCAGCGCCGGCAGGTGGCAAATCGTGAAGGATATCTACATCTCGCCAGCCGTGGCCGATCGCATCAAGGCCACTACAGCTGAGCTGGTGGACGAACGCTCGCAGGCTGTCGTTGTGTGAGACTGCGTACGTACAAAGCAGCGACACAATCATAGCAGCAAACGATGAGTCCAAGAACAAAGAAAAAACTTTAAAACGTTTTGTGGATAATTCATAATGTCAGAAATCTTTTTTTTTTTTGCGGGGGGTGTTGTCACTTACCTTCATGTAGTTGTTAGAGCTTCGTGTGAATTTTTGAGTTTTTTCATATCTTTCTGGAGAATCTTTTCTCTCCTTTGTTTTTTTTTCCTGTGTGTGTGTGTGTGTGCGTCTTGAAGAGGAGGAAACGTTATACTTGACCCTGTTGCTGTTTACTGCTGCTGCTGCTGCTATTGCTGCGCAGTTGGCTACCAATATTGTTGTTGCTGTTGCATTTTCTTCTCTGCTGCGAAAGAGATAGCGACAGAGACAGAGCGCCTGGTCATTTGCATCGCGGCGGTGTGTGAACATGGTGGCAGCGGTAGAAGGCGGCGCCTCAGGGCGGCAGCGTATCCGTGCTGTTGCGGCTGTAACGGAAGTAGACGCGGCACTCTCAGAGTCCGCGCTGATTGCTGGCGGACTTCACGTCAGTGTCCCGCTACCTCTCCGGGAGAAGCCAATTGTGCGTCACGCCAACTTCTCCGCCATGATTCAGGCCCACCTGATCCCTGACCCGCACGGCAGTGAACGCGAGGCCCTGCGGGAGCTTCAGATGGTTCCCGTCCTGCGTGACGAGTTTGCCGTGCTGGACGACGCCACGCTTCGCACCATCTGCGCCTTCCTTGGCGAGCGGTCGAAGGACGCGGTGCACTTCGGATCTGTGTGCCGCCGGCTGCGCAACATTGTTATTGCGCTCACACCGGTGGTTGCTGTTGTTGTGCCGGACATGATTCCGCTGACGAGCCTCTCAAGCCACACCGTTGTGGACTCCCTGTGTGCCTTCTTTGCGACATACAAGAGGGGGCAGTTCGTGCAGGAGCTGCGCCTCGTGGACGCGAATCACGCCTCATCGCTGTCGGTTGCTGCTACCCTGCCGGTGTGCAGTCCGCATGTCTTTCCGTCACTCGTGAAGTTGCTGCCGTCGCTGACGTACCTCGACCTGCGCGGTGTGCGGTGGGACTGCCATGCCTGCCCGGGCCTGTCGCAGTACTTCCTCAGCGACCTCCACCTCGTCGCGCCGAAGCTGCGGACGCTCAAAGTTGGCATGGAGCTTTTCTCGCATTGGTCGCCGGGGTGGTGGCAGCGCCTTAGCGCGTTGGAGCAGCTCGTTGTCGGGTCGCGGCGCGATCAGGTGGTGGGGGCGGGAACTGCACCAGCAGCGACCACGCTCCACGAGGAAATGTTTAATATGCTGCGCGCCCCCCGACGGCCGTGGCGGCTCAAGTTGTGGTGTGCGTTGGAGCGCGACATGCTGGTCCGCGTGCTGATGCCCCTGCAGCCGTACCCCGACCTCCAGGAGCTTACGCTGAACCTCTCCAACACCGACGTCCTGGAGGAGTTCAAGCGACCACGGACAAAGTCGCCAAAAGACAACAAATCGCGCCGAAGTACGCGGAAGACAACAATTGTGGCCACCGACGAGGTGGATCTGCGCTCAGTTTTCCCATCGCTGCAGGCCCTCACGCTGGCGAATGCCGATCAATCGGCGCATCTGGCGTCTGAGCTGCTGGAGCGGATGGCGATGCACGCGCCGCAGCTGAAGTACTTCTCGGTGGTGAACACCGCAAGAGTTCCGCCGCCCCCGACGAAGCCGAGGCGTCGGGGGTGAGGCGGCTTGCCACTGCAGAACATGTAGAGACGGGAGATATGACACGCTTTGCATCTCTTCATCTTCCTTGTCTTTCCCACGGCTGCTGTGGGTTCCCTGTCCTCAGCAGATGACTGTCACTCGACAACACCGAGGAAAAGAAACGTTGAAATAGATGAGAGTATGTCCCGGGATGGCATTTTACTGTGTGCCTGTCGTGAGGCTCTGTTTCCGCTTTATGCACCTCCTTCTTCTTCTTCGTTTATTTACCCTTCCTACTCTACCTATTCGCTGCTTGTGCTGGCGCTGGTGATGATGATATTAATGATGTCGACGTTGCGCAGAACGTGTATAATGTTCGAGGCACCCGTGGAGTGCTGCGAGTGCACTGTTCCTGTTGGCGACGATGGGGCGCTGCGGGCGGTGCTGCTCGTGCCGTGTCAGCATCTTCTCCACATGGGCTGCGTCGACTACATACGCAAGCGCAGGAAATTAGATCAGCTCGTCGGTGGCAGCGACTGTAGTGGTGTGGCAGAAGTTCCAACACCGACGGCCTGCAGCAGCGATGGTCGCCTTGTCGCGTGCCCGGCGTGCCAGATGCCTGTGCAGCGGCTCGTCCCGCTGTTCCCCAGCAGCGGGGATGTGCAGCGGGCACCCAAAGCGGTCTGCAGTGACGCCGCGTCGCGCTTCAGGGAGCTGCACCACGCGCAGAAGACCAGCATCGCCCACCTCCGCGCACTTCACGAGCAGCGAGAGCGTGTGACGCAGCTCACGCGCACATGTGCCCAGCTGCACGAACGACTTTCGGCAGCGCAGGCGGAGGTGGATCGTATGTCACGAATTCTTCCCTCCACAGCGCCAGCAGGAAGTATCTCGGAACTGGCCGAGGCCGAGCTGTGCGTCGGCAATATGACCGCCACTGAACTTGAATTGTACATCACGCAGTCCTCCGTGACACTAGAGGGGTTAGAGCGTGACGTTCGCGAGCAGCGGTGGCTGGCTGAAAAGAAGCGTAAGAAGTTGACTGATTTGCAGTTGCGCTACTCTGTGGCAAAGGCGTCGCTGAAGCGTCCACCGCCCACTGCCGATAATGAGCGGGACGATGCGGGGTCTAGTTGCAGTGAGGGCACGTTTGACTCACCGAGCGGTAGCAAGCGTCCGCGTCTTCAGCCGCTCTGCATTGACGTCGACGCAGAGGAGGCGTCGGCCAAGGCAAAGGCGGTTGTTGTGTCACCGGGGAACGGTAGTGTCGCTAGGGAGGATGGTGAGAAAGACGATGATGATAAGGGAAGGAATGAGGAGGTGGGTAGCAGTGATAAGAACGACGATGCCGACGAAGATGACGATGTGGTGTTCATTGAGCACAAAGGCCCTGGCCTTACGAGTAGTGGTATTAGCAGCAGTAGCAGAAGAAATGGCAAGGCTAACAGTGTCGGGGCCATGGACTCTGCTGCAGGTGCGTGGCAGACCTCACTGGTGACAGGGCCGATAAGTGACGCCGTTGGCCACAATGATGTGGACGGTGGCGAGGATACTATGATGTGCTACACACATCTGCACCGCGCCGCGTTGACGCTACAGCCTGTGAGGAGTGTGCCCAACGTCACACGACTGCTCCCGAGGCGTGAGGACCGGCTCTGGCAGACGTCGTTAGAGAGTCTCTTGTAACCACAAACTGCGATGTCTGTACCTGCCTGACGTGCGCTATCTCTCTTTCATGATTTTTCTGTGGTGTTTCGCTGTTACACCCTTTACTCGCTCTCCCTTATTGCGGAGTGAGGGAGGCCAGCTGCACCTTTCCAACACATGCTTCTTTGGTCTCTTCTAAACACTCGGCGTAGCGAAAGAGCAATGAAAGGATTCGTCCTGCCGCCTCTCCAGACGTCCAACAAGGGGCCGCTGTGGTGCTCGCGGGTGCCGCTNAGGATTCGTCCTGCCGCCTCTCCAGACGTCCAACAAGGGGCCGCTGTGGTGCTCGCGGGTGCCGCTGCCGGAGCCGCCGGCGGACCTCATGGGGACAGAGCCGAAAGTTGTGCTGCCCGCCGTCGACAGAAATCGACGGCGCAACGAGTTGCTTCGCATGGAGGCGAAGGCAGCGGCGCTCGAGGCGGTGGCGGCGCGGGAGCAGCTGGAGCGCCTTGAGCGCAGGGTCCGCTCCGTGATTTGTGGACGTGAGCATGAGAAGCGGTACCGGCTGCTGTGGCACTACCAGGAAGAGAAGGCGCGGGTGGAGCGCGAGACCGCCGTCGTCGAGGCCAGGGCGCTGGCGCTGCAGCGGGAGCGCTACACGCGGGGCGTGCGCGACTTTCAGGCGCGCGGCCACGTGCTTCACCTCGAGACGGTCGCCCGCGCCCATACGAACGTGGAGGAGGCGGACGCGCGCCGCCACATCGCCTCGCTGCTCGAGACGGTGCTGCTGGAGGAAAGGGCTCGGCAGGCTGCGCGTGAAGCTGACGCGGCGGTGTCCATCTTCCACGACCTCAAGGGTGTGCGCGACTGGGAGTGCCGCATCGCCGAGGCGTCGTTTCGTCCTACCAGGCCATTCACCCCCACCACACAACTCGTTACCCGCCGCGGTACCGGCACCGGCGGCTACCACGGCAGGACGGATCTCCTCATGGACTATGCTGTCTGCGAGGAGGAATGGCACGCGCGCATCAACATTGTGTGGAAGGAGCGCGTCGCATTCCTTCCGCTCGAGTTTCAGCACAGTGTGGCGCAGCTCATGTACGTTGAGGAGCCGCGTGAGCGCGCCATGGTGGAGGAGCCCTGTAGGTATGGCAGCTTCCAGGCGGTGCTGAGCGCATCGTTGCGGATACAGCGATGGTGGCGCATGCTGCGAAGAACGCCGTGGCAGGAGCGGAGGCGGGAAGCGCTTAGGCGATGCGTCGCGGAAAAGCGCAACCAGATGACGTCACACGACTTTCACCTTGTGCTTGATCGAATGAGACGACAGCCGGCGGCTGTTGCCGACGTCCCGTCGCCAGAGGAGGTGCAGAAGTCGCTTGCTGCCGTTGAACGGGCTGCGGAACTCGCGTACAAGTACGAGTTGGACTACTTTGTCTACACCTTGATGAACCGCGCCGCAAATCTTCAGGCGACGGAGGCACATCGGCTGTGCTCCCTCCAACTTGCAAAGGACGATGGTACGGCACCGGTTCCGCCAATTGTTGCGCTGCTTCGCGTGCCGTACCGTGTGTACGTTCGGCAGCAGCCGCTGCAGCCGTATCCGCTGTGGCGCGCTCTGCGTTGGGTCGAGGGCTCGACGTCGTTCCTGCTGCAGGCGAAGTTGCAAGAGGCGGAGGCGGCGCAGGCGAGGGAGGCGCTGCTGCAGCGCGAGGCGAAGGAGGCTGACACACTTCGGATGTACCACGCAGCGTTAAAACGGGGCGCATGGGCGTGGCGCTCGCTCTACACTTCCTTCCTCCTCTTTGAGCAGGACGAAGAAATTTGCCGTGGCCTCGTGCAAAGCGAAGAACAGGACAGCCGGGCCATCATTACAGGAGAGGCGGCTGCCATGCTGACGCAGTGCTATGCATCCGCTGGGGAAAGGTGGCATCTGTTGCAGGAAGAAACGAGACGACGGCAGTTGCTGGCCGATGAGGAGCGGGACGAATTCACCCGCGCCACGGCAGGGGAGTGGCGCTGGCACAACCTCCTGCAGGTGCGCATACGTTTGAAGGAGTCGTGCGGCGGCAAGCTGCGCTGGAAGATCGCGCTCAACCAGGGCCTAGGCTGGCGATTCCTCTCTCTCGACACGGCAGCGTGCGTCCTGCAGCGCTTCTTCCGCGTAGCTCTTGCCCGCGTTCGCCGTGCGCGCGGCAAGGCGACGGGCCCGGCGCCCGAGGCGGTGCTCGTCGCGACTGCCGCGGACATGATGGAGATTCTATCGGCGCAGTTCCGCGAGGGCGCGGAGACAGTGCGGCGGGGCACGTCCCACCATGGCTCCGCGGAGAACCGCATGGACACGGCGGTTGGCCTCTTCTCCGCGTGGTTCGACGAGAAGGCGCATGCGCCAATGGAGCGGGAGTACAAGGAGATTGTGGCCCGCTTCCTGGAGACGAACAGGGGGCTCTACCAGCGCATGCACCTCCTCTTTGCGGTGGCGCGGAAAGGCCGGGAACGCATCGCCCAGCAGGAGGCGCAAGAGCGTGACTCCCTGTGCCACACCGACACATTCTTCTTCATCGCCACGCACGAGCTCGGCGTGCTGGAGGCGGTGCAGCGCCAGCGCCTTGAGGCGGAGGCCGAAGTGGTGACGTCGCACTGGCACGACCGCGCCGAGGTCCTTGCCTCTCTCACCAAATACACATCCCCTGTCGTCGGAACAACGGCTAAAAAACGGATCACTGCGGGCCGGTTTCTGCCGCGTATGAGCTGCACGGAGCGGCTCCTCAGCCGCGAGGAAGTTGCACGTACTCGCGTCCTCGTGGAGGAGCGACAGGAGCGTTGCGCATTCGTGCTGTCGCTGCACGCTGTGCAACGCGACGCCATGGTGCAGGAGGAGCAGCAGGAGCGGGAAGCGGTGTGCGAGCGTGTCGATAGCTGTTGCCCGGCCAGCCCACCCGTTGCGCAGCTTGCGCTTCTGATGTGCGCGGAGACGGCGGAACGGCGCGCTATTGAGGACGCTGCGCGGCGAAGTTACGCCCTGCCGCTGGAGCGCGGGTGCCTGCTGTACGCGCAGCAGACACTTCTTCCACAGTTCCTGCGCGGTCACCTGAGTTTTGCGAGCGAGGCGCGGCACTTCGACAGGCATCTCACGGAGCTGCTGTTGCGGCGTGTCGCGCTCCTTGGGAGCAAACGAGACGAGTTGGTGGCGGCAGAGGTGTGCGCGCGCGCCCGGGTAGAGCACTTGGAGGAGGTGCACCGCCGCTTGTATTTGGCCAGCTGCTTCCTCGCTTGATGCTATGTACAGGCATGTATAAACATGAAACCAAATGAGGAAAACAAACAACAAAAACAACAACGACAGCGGCCTGATTTTTGTATTATTCGGTTGTGTGTATGTCCCCCCCCCTTTCGCCGGAGCTGAGGAAGAGGAAGGGAGCGCACAGTTCCTCTTGTCCCCCTGCTTATAGCGCCCTTGTGTTTGGCGAAGACTCGGTCTTCCTCCGCAGCTGCGCTGTCTGCTTGTTGTTGAGGCACACCGTAGAGTGCATTCATTTCATTGGACCTTTTCGCCTTCTCTTGCTGTTGTTATTGTTGCTTTTATTGTCATTGTGCTCCCCGCGATGTGCTTCCCATCGTGATGGTGTAGCGAAGCATATGGAGGAGTTTGACGGCGCCATTGGCATCGACCTCGGCACGACGTACTCGTGTGTGGCGGTGTTCCGCAACGACGCGGTGGAGGTGGTGCCGAACGACCAGGGCAACCGCACGACGCCGTCCTGCGTCGCGTTCCACAACGGCGACGTGCTCGTTGGCGACGCGGCGAAACATTTGGCCTCGCGTGGTGTGAAGGGTGTTGTGTACGACGCGAAACGCATGATCGGCTGCCGCTTCGGCGACAAGGCCGTCCGCGACGATGCGAAGCGGTGGCCCTTCGCTATCGAGGCGGGGGAGAACGACAGCGTGCTGATCTGCGTCGAGCACAAGGGCGAGACACTGCGGCTGGAGCCGGAACAGATCTCCGCGCGGGTGCTCGCGTACCTCAAGGGGTGTGCGGAGCGCTACCTCGGCCGGGCGGTGGGGCGGGCCGTCATCACGGTGCCCGCGTACTTCAACGACGCCCAGCGGGAGCGCACAAAGGCGGCTGCACGCATTGCGGGGCTAGAGGTGCTGCGCATCATCAATGAGCCGACGGCGGCGGCGCTGTGCTACGGTCTCGGCATCGGCTCAGGCGCAGGTGCGCAGGGCACCGAAAAGCCGGTCAACGTGTTGGTATTCGACTTCGGCGGTGGTACCTTCGATGTGTCGATCATCACCATCGACAACGGCTCCTTTGCTGTGCGGTCAACAGCAGGCGACACGCACCTCGGCGGACAGGACGTTGATGCGGAGCTGCTGCGGCATGTGCTTGCAGACCTCAAGAGCCGCCACGGTGTGGACGCGACGGCGCAGCCGCGGACGCTTGCCAAGCTGTTGGCGCGCTGCGAACAGGCAAAGCGTGTTTTGTCGCACACCGCGACTGAGGAACTCGTACTTGACGGTATTTTGCCAGACGGGGAGGAGTACACGCTCGGCCTGACGCGGGCTAAGCTGGAGGAGCTCTGCGCCAAGGTGTTTGCCCGCTGCATGAGCGTCGTGCAGAAGGCGATCAAGGACGCGGCGATGACGGTGGACGACATCGGCGACGTCATCCTTGTTGGTGGCAGCTCCCGCTTCCCCGCCCTCCACGCCATGCTGCAGGAGATGTTCAGGGGTAAGCGGCTCTGCAGCTCCGTCCACCCCGACGAGGCGGTGGCGATCGGTGCGGCCGTGCAGGCGAGCATTCTCGGCGCGTCGCCCGAGCAGCAGTCGGCGAAGACGGCGGACGTCGTGCTGATGGACGTCGTGCCGCTCTCCATCGGCGTAGAGGTGGACGACGGCAAGTTCGACGTCATCATCCGCCGCAACACGACCATCCCGTACCGCGCGACGAAGGAGTACAGCACCGTCGAGGACGACCAGGAGGAGGTGGAGGTGCAGGTCTTCGAGGGCGAGCGGCCGCTCACACGCCACAACCACAAGCTCGGCGCCTTTGTCCTTGACGGCATCACGCGGGCGAAGCGCGGCGAGCCGACCATCACAGTGACGTTCAGCGTTGACGCCGACGGCATCCTCACCATCACCGCCAGCGAGGAGCTCGCCAGCGTGATGAAGACACTCGTTGTCGAGAACGCCGACCGCCTCAGCGCGGAGGCGGTGCAAAGGATGATCGAAGTCGCGCAGAAGCTGTCGGCGAGCGACGCGGTGGCTGCCGCCGTCACAGACGCCGCCGCGCGCCTCACACGCGGCTTCGCGGAGCTCGATGCGGCGCTCGCTGCGACACCGCCTCCGCACACAGCGGAGCTGCAGCGCCGCGTCGCGTTCCTTGCGCACGGCAAGGCATGGCTCNCAGCTGCCCAAGTACACAGATGTGCGGGAGGTGGAGAAGAAGGCGGAAAAAATCATGAGACTTGTGCAGAAGGCCATGAAGACGCTGCGGCGGGAGGCGCGGGCGAGTTGCGATGCCGACCGTACAGAAGACAACAGAGAAGCCGACGACGATGGTGACGATGACGACGATGACAGTGCTGATGAGGAGCCGCAGCAGCTGGAGGGGGCAGCAGGGCGAAAGCGCCAGCGCAGTGAGTCCTAGCAGCACTGAGAAGTGAAGGCAAGACAAAACCAAAGAAACGGCATCAGAGGCGGCGTATATTTCATATTTCTGAAGTCCCTTCCTCTTTATTCATCTACCTGTGTCTCTTCCCTCCACCCTGACCCAGGTTGCAGGGTGCAGTGGAGAAGTGGCATGTAGTGTTCACTATGTCTCACGCCCCCTTCCCTCCTTCTCCTCCTCCCCCTTTTTTTTGTGTGTGCTTCTGGCGTTTTCGCTGCGTCGTTGTGAAGGGCAAACAAAAGAAAAAGAATGGTGAAAACAACGAAGCGCCGCGAGGAGTCGGCGACAGCGGTGCAGAAGCAGTCAAAGAAGACGACGAGGGCCACCACCACAGCCGCTGCGAGCTCTGGCGGGCATTCTCCGTATAAGAAGCACCATCACCAACAACAGCAGTCGAGTCCGCAGCAGCAGCAGCAGTCCAAGAAGAGTGAGGCGCTGCGGGCGGCGTTGGCCACCGCGTTCTCCGCTCCCACCACGCGCGTCGACGACGCTTCTGCTGCTGACGAGTACGGGAAGGGCAGCCCAACAGACCGGCTGCAGTTCGGCTACGCACCAGCCATCGCGGCAGAGGCCGTTGCGTTTCACACCGCCATACCGGCGAAGAAGTGGGTTGCGGATCGGCGCAGTCAGGGCCGCATCACATTTGTTAAGAAGCAGAAGCTAACGAGGCCCAACTGCGAGCCCATGACATCGCTGCTCAAGTTGAAGGAGCACTGGAGGAGCACGGCTCAGTTCGTAGCAGAGGTGCGCGGTGGCGACGTTGGACAGGACACAGCCGACGACCTTCTGGAGATGCTCGTGTCGCGGCAGCGCGTGGCGTAGCGCCTCCCTTCCCGCCCCCATCTCGTGTGGCGCATCCGACTAAACTGAAATGGAGTTTTGAGTGTATCCACGTCTATGCGCACGCGTGTTTGTGTGTCTACGCGTGCTGCCGTGACGACGAGAAGGCAATGGAAAGTTGCCGCAGCTCGTGTCTGGAAATTATCTTCCCCTCGTCTCGCTGGCGGTGCCATTGCTTAGTAGTGGATGGGGTTGTAGGCAAAGAGAAAGCAAGATGCAGACAAGCCATGAAGGAGAGCGACAGCATGAGTCAAATCCGAAGGAGCGGTGCATTGGCATTGATTTTCCGCCCGTAAAGGACCGCGAGGAGATTTTCAACGCGCAGCGGGCCGCAGTGACGCAGGAAGAGATACGCCAAGGCATGCAGGACGACATCCCACCCGTCGTGCGCAGCGTGCTGGAGCTCGCGCACCTTATGATGAGTGGCCACAGCCAGAAGCTGCGCGCTTCACCGGGCTATCAGGGCGGTCTCTTCTACGGCGGAAGTCCCTTCTGCTTCGCGAGCGGCTACCGCGACGGCACGCGGCCGCGCGACATGGACGACAAGGGCAACCACATGAAGCTGAAGGACCCGCTCACGTACGGCGTGCTCTCGCTTCCGGTGACTGCCGGCTACCTCTGCGAGCTGCACGGAAAGGGCATCATCGACCTGCACGCCCCGCTGGCGCGCTACTTGCCAGAGCTCGAGGGCAAACTCGACCCTAGTGTGACGGCGCGGAGCATCCTCGCCTTCACCCGCGCCGTCGACGACCGGCAGGTGCTGAAGGACGCGGGGGCCCGCTGGCTGCGGCCGCACTTTGCGTGGAACATGTGCGCCTCGATGCAGCGGTGCGTGTACGAGCCCATCAATCGCTTCTTCGCCGGCGGCTCCACCGCGGTCCTCACTGGGCAGCAGCAGCGCGAGAATTTCGTGCAGTACTTTCGCTCTTCCTCTCGTGCAACAGTTCGGCAGTGCTCGGCGCGGCGGTCGTATCGACACGGTATATCGCACTTCTCCGTCGCGTTGCTCATGGCCGCCGTTGAACGACAGCTGCAGGGCACAAGCTTTGAGGCGTCGATCCGCAGCACTGTCTTTGAGCCGGCGCAGAGCCACGGTGCTGGCTATGGCCCACCCAAGTTGTGGCGCGACCCAAATGAGATGTTCTACCAGCCAAGTGGTCTCGCCTTGCAGCACCAACGTTTTTTCTATCCAATAAAGACGGGGTCTCTTGACAACTGTGGTCCACCGCTACTGAACGCCTCCCTGAACCTCTACGCGCCGGTAGAGGACTACGGCAAGCTGCTGCTGCTCTCACTCGATGCCATTCGGCACGCGCGAGTGGCACTGGGCGGTGCAGATGTCGTGGCAAGAGGCTCACACTACGATTTCGGTGTGGAGTGGCGGGATGATAGCCGACAGGTGCAGCTGACACGGCGTGTGTTGGGGATTGACTACGTCCCCGCCGCGTCGTCGTTCCGTTACAACTGCGAACATGATCTCGGCTGCTTCGGGGTGACAAATTGTGGTTCACGTGACGCCTGTGTCCTCGCCAACATGCTCTCGCGCGTGATTCAGCACCTCTTCGTGAAGCACGTCATTCAAAAAGGTGTCGATGTGACGCGGGGGCCCGACTTGGACAGTCCCCAGCGGGAGGCGAGCGAAACGGAGACAAAGTTCCGCAAGATCGTCAAGCAGCAGGAGTACACGAGCTACTTCAAGAAGCACGACGCCCACAAGCGATTCTGAGTGGGGTGCGTGCTATATGGCGGGAAAGGCAAGAGAGAAGGTGTGGATACAGGCATCACGCAGAAACAATTTTTTTGTTAAAAAGTGCCTGATGGCTTTAGTTTGGGTGACGCACCTTTGTGCTGGCGTCCGCCGCGGTCATTCTGATGTTAGCCATCTGTATTTTTTTTTTTGTCGGAGGGGGGGAGGAGGGGGGCTGTGGTGTG